CTCTACCACTTGATCCACAGCACCACTTCCGGTTTTCTGGTTAATTGGAGATAAAGAGTCTAGACTTTCCTGCCCAGGCTGCCTTTGAACTGCGATCCTCAGCTCTCAGCCTCCTGAGGAGCTAGGACTACAGGTGTGAGCCACCAGTGCCTGCTTTGCTTTTTGTTGTTGTTGTTGTTGTTTGTTTGTCAGTCATGGGGCTTAAATTCAGGGCCTGGGTACTGTCCCTGAGATTTTTTTGCTCAAGGCTACTGCTGTGAGCCACAGCTCTGTTTCCAGGTTTTCTGGTGGTTAATTGGAGATAAGAGTTTCACAGACTTTTCTGCCCAGGCTGGCTTTGAACTGTGTGAGCCACCAGCATGTGGCTGCTTAACTGCTTTTTAAAATTTGTGTAGTTAGTGTATGAAGGTTGGTCCAACCCAGGTCTACACCTTCTATCTCTAGCACTTAGCACAAAAGCCATATACATAGTAGGTGTTGGAGATAGAGTCTTTTGGACTTTTCTGCCCAGGCTGATTTGAACCTCCGTCTTCCAGGGGCTTAACCTCTGGACTAGCTAAGTTCACAGACATGAGCCACTGGCACCTGGTTTGGATTTTTTTTTTTAAAAGCCCAGTTTTCATTTTCATACTTCAAAGTTTGTATTACAGGCTGATACTGGCCTAATTTTGTGCTCAGTGGGCAAGGAAGCAAAGATGAAGTGGCTGTATTCCATTTCCTCAAAGACTTTAAGGCTTAGTAAGAGCAGTAGTAAGTAGTTGTTGGGAAACATGGGTGTGTCAGTGAAGGTGTACAGAAGCATGGGGCCTGAGGGCATGCGGCCGGCTGGGCAGGCAGCACTAGTGCTGGAGAGTTTTAGGAATACATGCTCTTGATTCGCGCTCACCCCGTTTCCCTGTCAGCATCAACTCATTCCACAGGTCACACATCCTTTCACTAGGAAGCCTTCCAGGATCCCCCAGTAATGAGCCAGTCCCTCCCTGAGTCACTCCCTCTTCTGCTCTAGCATTTGTCTTGTGTGATGGGGGCTGTGTACTTGCTGTTTTCCTATCATTGCCATTCCCAAGGATCTGGTGTGAGTCTCTGCAGCTCTGTGAACAGAGAGACCCTAGTGAAAGGATCTGGGAAGATCAACACTAACGGTGCTATCTCTGGGGAAAGACACAGCAATTGGTAGGAGTCGTCGGGTCGTTCAGTTCTGGGAGTTTTGTGCATTCATTGAGAAGGCAGGCCATATTCGTTGTATTTAAAGTGGAGATAAGAAAGCTGGTTAGGCAGTCGTGCACAAAGCTGCAGGGATGAAAGCCAAACATCTATGAGTGGGCAAGAGACAGTAGCCTGGACTTTTTTTTTTTTTTTTTAAAGACTAAGGGAAATGGTGGGGAAATAATAAACACAGTTGTGCTTTTCAGAGGATTAATCTGTCAGCCATGTGTAGAATGGCTTGGAATGAGAGGAGGTAGAAAGTTTAGATATGAGCTGTTAACATTTTGCACATAAGTGATGAGGTCTCAGGCTGGTGACTGGGCTTTGAGGAAAGACAAGTGGCGTCTGGATACTTTCCTACTGTAGAAGTTAGCTCAGGCAACGTGATGCGTACGACCGTCACTTAGGAGGACACCAGAAGATCTAGCTGGGATTCAGCTGCTGGGTTGCCACTTGCCTGCTGAGTGACTAGTGCTTGCTCTCTCTCTCTCTTTTTTTATACATTAAGTTTTGTTGAGCTCCAGTGGCTTGTAGTCCTAGTCACGTGGGAGCCTGAGATGGTTGGGATCAAGGTTCAGTGTTAGCCTGGGCAAGAGCAAGTCCTTGAGGTCTTCTCCAGTGGGGTGATGTCATTCTAGCTCCTGAGAAGCTTAACCTAGGTGGACTGTGTCCAGGCGTGAGGCCCTGAGTTCAAACTGCAGTATCAATGGAAAATTAAATGGAAGCCGCGTGCTGTTGCCTTACACCTGTATTCCCAGCTTCTCAGAAAGCTGCGCTCTGATGATCATGGTTTAAGTCAGCCTGGGCAGGACAGTCCACGAGACTCTAATCTCTAATTAACCTGCAAAAGGCTGGAAGTGGAGATGTTGCTCAAGTGGTAGAGCTCCAGTCAAGTGGTAGATGCCAGTCTTCAAGCCCTAGGACTGGCACCCAAAGAAAACTAAATTGCAATTTTAATGAATTCATTCTTGTAAAACAAAGCTCATATATAAGAATAAATTCCCATCTGACTACTCTAAGTTGCTGTTTCCGCCCGCTATCCCCCATGGGCACTATTGGTGGGTGTTTGTTTTTCTAGGTTCTTTTGATGTGCATTTATGTATGCATACTAGTACTGAGGCTTATAGAAAGGTCACAGTACTGTTTGTATATTTATGTTGTAAATTTAATGATCATCGTGTTTTATTTTATTTATTTTGTTTTTCTGCTCAGTAGTATTTGGGAAAGGCTTACTATGTCAATAGTAAGACACAATTTTTTTTTTCCAGACCTGGGGCTTGAACTCAGGGCCTGGGCACTGTCCCTGAGCTTCTTTTGCTCAAGACTAGCACTCTACCACTTGAGCCACACCACCCTTCTGGCTTTTTCTGTTTATGTGGTACTGAGGAATGAAACCCAGGGCTTTATGCATGCTAGGCAAGCACTCTACCACTAAGCCACATTCCCAGCCCTACACAGTGTGTTTTAAGCTGACACAACAGTTAATAAAATGAGTAGGTTTAGTTATCTCTGTGTTGATGATTTTGAGGATGTTTGTGACTGACTATTAAGTGTGCTTTTCTTGTTTTTTTTTTTTTTCTTTTTTAAAAATTTCTCATCCCTTCTGTAGTCATCACGTGCCAGCTTAGGAAAGGTTGAATTTATTTACTGTTAGAAACTGAGAGGCTTAAGAGGCCCCAGGTGCCAATCAGATTGAGGTTGTGCTGGTAAAGAGTGAAACCTGGAAGACGGGTTTCAAACAGGAAGGGCAGTAACGACAAGTCCTCAAGCTCAAGGAGCAGTGCGAGTGTGGGCTTTAAAACAGGGCAGAATGTGGGATTCTGGAAGATCAGGTTGTGCTGAAAGAGAAGGTAAGGTAATGAGTTCCCAAGATGAGCCACATGTCAGAGATGAGGCCTTCCACGGTCACGCCAATAGCCACGGCTGCTTGTAAAATGACCTGTATGACTTCAAAGGAGTCAAAGGATCTTAACCCTAATGTGTTAACTCTTAGTGAATTTAAATTGCATGTCTTGCTGTGTAATCATTCCAGCCTCAAGTGTACTGTGTGACTCTGGGTAAGTGGTCAGAGATGGTTGGTGGTGATGGTGAGGAAAGAATGAGTTTATTGTTGGAGGGCAGGACTGGAAATGTGCTGTCTCTTCTTGTTGCAGGAGTACTTGTTGGCTGGAGCAGATATCATTGAAACAAATACTTTCAGCAGTACTAGCATTGCCCAAGCTGACTATGGCCTTGAACACTTGGTGAGCATTTCCTTTTTCCCCATTTCTGTGTTGCTTATAAGAACTTGTTGTTTTGGAGGGAGCTAGTGATAAAACCTTCCGAGAGCAGTCAGCTGATGTGCACTTTCTTTGTTTATGAGGAGACAGGGTAATGCTTTCAATCTTTGCTGCTTATGTGCACAGTAACCTATTCATTTTATAACTGGCTTTTATGGACAAGTAATAGCCAAATTAAAAAAAAATACTTGTTAAGCTGTAGGGTTTTTTTGTGTGTGTGTGTCAGTACTGAGGCTTGAACTCAGGCTCTCACATTCTTGCTTAGTTTTTTTGCTCAAGGCTGGTGATCTACCACTTGAGTCACACCTCCACTTCTCTCTTGTTGGTGGATAATTAGAGATGAGTCTCATGGATTTTCCTGTCCAGGGTAACTGTGGACTGTTGGAGGGTTCAGAACCACTGTAGCATTGTACAGTGAAGCAGGGAGAGCCAGGTCAGGGCCATTGTGGTGGGAACTGACTGGCTAGTTAGGTGATGGCAGAGCTAGTCCTAGATCTCAGGTCTCGGCCTCAGAAGCCTGTGGCTTTTTTTCCACTATACTCTTTCTTTCTTAGTTTACAGTATTTGACTGTGTTAGCTTGTTTTGTGACTTATAAGATGTCTAGAGGCTGTTCTCTTTGCCAGCTACTTGGTGTTTGTGAGAAGGCCCCAAAAGCAGTTGCCAGGGATGAATTTCCATTCCCAGATGCCTTTCAAAGTTGGGCAACTGATAGGGCTTCCTGGCTAATATTGCACTCAGTCTTCAGATGAATTCACTTGACATTTCCTTGCTGAATACAACTAAATATTAGATGGTTGTTGATTCCTTAGTTTGCATGGAGAAAAAACAGGACAAACTAACATTTGTGGTTGATGTGCTAGGCCTACCGGATGAACAAATGCTCTGCACACGTGGCCAGAAAAGCAGCAGAGGAGGTAACACTCCAGACAGGTAAGGGACATTGTACACGTCATGCCTTGAGTTATAATGTGGCACCTCTGATGTTCCCTGCTATGTATTATAGGTGCTTTCTCCTGTTATGCCCCATGGCTCAGGAGCTGCTGCAAATACTGTATTTGACTTGTTATCAGGTTACTTCTCAGCAGTGGCATAATGAATTGTTTATCATCTCCCTCGGGTGACGTGGGCTTTGGACTCAGGGCCACCTCTTTTATCTTCTGGTCCTTGTAACTAATTCCCTGAGTTTGTAGTTAGATCCATGACTTCTCAGAGTATTCAGAGCTAAAATGATTTTTCTCCCTTTGAAAGCACATTATTGGGTGATTAACGTAGCAGCTGGCTGAGTTGATTATTACGGTTTTCATTAGGATGTTTGATCATGTTCTTCTAAAGCTACTTCTTATTTTGGCATAGATGGCCTTTCAAGTGTTTCCTCCTGTGTATTTGCAATGACCTTGAAGGCCCTGCTCACAGGAGGAGTATGGCATTAGTGTCAGTCTTGCTGGACATGAAAAGCAGTTCCTGAAATAACTTTCATCCTGGCTGGCTGCCATCAGAACACTGGGCACTAGTGGATAGATTCTGAGAGAAGGAAAGGTATAGAATAAATAACAAGGAGTCCCTTAAAGATGTGGAAATATGGTTATTGCCCATGCGAAACATGTAAAGCAAAATTGTTAAGAAGTTAGCTGAACATGCTAATGAAGAACAAAAGCAATTTACAGTTATGTTGCTGAGAGATGAAATTTAAATCCATACAAATGTGTAGACTGCAGTCCACCTGAGAGGCAGGTTGACAAAGTAATGAATTATCCCAAACAATGGTATTTTTCTTATCCTTACATCTTGTTTAACATTGGGGAAGATGAAGACTACTTGGCCTTTAGCCTGGTCACAAACTGGGTTACCAACTAGTTGGTAGTCTTCTCCAGTTTAATTGGAAAGCAGACCCTGGGGTATTGAGTGGGTAAAAATCACCATAGCTAATTAGCAATAGTACTCCTGGTTTATGCTGTTCTATGCAAGTGAACTCAATTTCCCATGACATTTTACAGGTACTTTGACTCTAGCCTAGAGACAATGTGATATAGGGGTTATTAAGGCAACCTCTGGTCTGCTTCATACTGGAATTGCAGGCTTTTACTCACATGCAGAAAAGCCCTTTGAAATGAGAGGAGGGAGAATTGAGTTTTCTTGGATTGGCTTGGTGATGACATTCACATGTCCCCCATAGTACATGATTTCCCCAGTGAAATCTGGGGAATTATATAACAAACTATATATTGCAGAATCTGAGTTATCTCATGAAATGACATAAAGGAACGAATAGGCTTTTATTCATTAGAAATCAAGTTCTGTTGTCATATGATTCAGAACAAAACAGGGCTTTCAGATGCTTTTTGCATTTCTGGGTTGTAGGCAAAGGATTAGGGATAGCCTCGTGATCTAGAAAAAAAATCTTAAAGCTTTTTAAATTTATAACATATTTGAACAACTTAGAGATCTCATGCTTTCTCTCCTTTTTCCAAAGGTATCAAGAGGTTTGTGGCAGGAGCTTTGGGTCCAACTAATAAGACCCTGTCCGTGTCTCCATCTGTGGAAAGACCAGATTATAGGAATATCAGTGAGTATTTATCCCATATAATCAGGGAGCGTGGACGTGGGCCTCAGCAGTGCTAATATGTGATATGGATCCAGAAGCAGGATCTGATTAAGGGATGTTGTGGTATTGTCTTTTGTTATTATTCTTCCTTGACCTTGCTTTTAGATGGTTATGGTGAAGTGATATATCAGTGCTTTTTTTCATTCTTTTTTTTTTTTTTTTGGTGCCAGTCCTGGGGCTTGAACTCAGGACCTGGGGTCTCTGAGATTTTCTGCTTAAGGCTAGTACGGTTGCCACTTGAGCCACAGCTGCACTTCTGGCTTTTTTGGTGCTTAATTGGAGATAAGAGTCTTCACAGACTTTCCTGCCCAGGATGGCTGTGAACCTTGATCTTCAGATCTCAGCCTCCTAAAGTAGTTAGGATTACAGGTGTGAGCCACTTGTGCCTAGCAGATGCTTCTTAAAACTAATTAAAATAATGATGGGTGCGGTGATGCATGTCTATAATCTCAGCACTTGGGAGGCAAAGCCAGGAGGATTGGGAGTTCCAGACAAGCTTAAGGTATACAGTGAGAGAGACACTATCTCCCAAAACAAAAAAAGTAATAAGTAAAACAAAAGAAATGATGTTTAAAAGTGAAAAGTAAATTTGGACACCAGCTTTTGGTCTACTATAAAACAGCGTATTGTATTTCCCAGTTAATTTTTTCGAATGCAGCCCAAACCAGGTAAACATATTTGTACTATAAAGATTATATACTAGCATGTATAAACATATTTGCTGAGATTTGGTAAAGTGTATAGGCATTCAGGTAAATTTCTCATAAGAAGACTTTAAAAAACGAAGAACGAGAGCTCTGGTGCTGAGCAATGACCCCGCGTGTGGTGGAGGCCTCGTGGAGACAGGCAGGTTGGCCAGCGCAGCTGGTGGGTTCATTTCTGGAGCTCTGCACGCTGCCCGCATCCTCCTTCCCCACAGGGGCTCTTCCAGCCCCATGTGTGGCCCACACTCCTCTGTCCTGATGAGACTGGGCCGCTGCCCTCCCCGCTCGGCTGTGGGTGTGGGCCACACCCCAGCATAAATGAGTGCTTCAGTTTCCTCTGTGGACACGCCTGAGCAGCTTTTCTTTTTGAGTTGGAGACAGACTGGGGTGAGGCCTCACTTCTCAGGTGGACATAGCACAGACGTTTGTAACAAACACTTCACCTCAGAGTCAGAGAAGGCTTTTGGTTAGGACAAAATCCCCTGTGGGAGAGGCCCCCTCTTGTGGAGTTGGTATAGGGCAGGACAGAGCCCACAGGACTGGGGCTTTCACCACTGAGAAACCTACAATCAGCCCCATGTATGCAAATAATGTGTCTCCACCCACCCCTTCACTGGCTGGTTAACATACTCTTTGGAAAACTTGGAGGGAGGTGCATGCCTGTAATCCCAGTACTTGGGAGGCTGAGGCAGGAAGTCAAAACCAGCTTGAGCTGTGTATAGTGAGGTTCCAACTTCACACATAAAACATATACCCCCAAATGCGATTTATGGGCAGAATGATGTATTGAGATATATATGTTGAGAAGTCAAGTGCATGGTTCAAGAGGTAGACATGCCTTCTACTCCCATCTCAGACATGGAGGAAGGTCATTTGACCAGCCTTTACTGTGGCTGTGTTCCGTGTGTGCGTGCGTGTGTGTGTGTGTGTGTGTGTGTGTGTGTGTGTGTGTCGTGATCTGGCACTGGCAGAGACTATGGAGCCCTGATGTGCTTGGCGTGACTTATTCTTACAGCATTTGATGAGCTCGTTGAAGCGTACCAAGAGCAGGCTCGAGGACTTCTGGATGGGGGAGTTGACATCCTGCTTGTTGAAACGATTTTTGACACTGCCAATGCGAAGGTGAGTTAGGGAGGATAAAGGATGAGGCTGGACCGGCTGGGAGGAGTCCATAGCTTAGTGACAGGACAGGGTCCTGACCAATGCCAGATGCATTTTCTCTGCTTGCACCTGTTTGTCTTGAAAATTTTAAACAAGGCCCGTGTAAATAAGTAAAATTCAGCAAAACTGTTTTGAGCTTTTTGAAAATGTTTTCTCATTATGAAGGTAAATCTTTTCATAGATGAGTACACAGTATTCATGATTCCAATGTTTAAAGGTTCATAAGTATGTGGGAGAATTATATATAGTAAGTATACCTTCCTCTAGTACTTGGGTATCTTACTTTTTTCAGTTGTTACCAGTTTGGAGATCTGAATGGAGAGTCCATTCAGATGTGTGTGCACATGCACGTGTCTGTGTGTGCTTGCATTCCTTACTTAAGTACAAAGGTGCATGGCGAGTGCGTTGAAAAGTAAACGTGCTTGCACAGATATGTATTACAAGGTATGGTTTTGCAAATGGAAAGAATTTTTTTTTACTCTTCCAGTCTGACAGGTAAAAAACCACTACAGATTTAACTTGTATTTTCTTACCATTGATGAAATTGAACTTCTTTCTTTAGTTTTAGATCCATTTGTATTTCTTTTTCTGTGATTTATGGCCTATGTTTTTCTATTGGATTAAAAAAAATTGAGTCCTTTACTAAGGAACTGAGATTCAGATACTCATTTGAAAAGACCCCTAGTATTGTATTATGTATTACTTGAGTAATGAGAGGGGTAGCTGGGTGTGGTGGACATGTCTGTAATACCTGTACTTGGGAGGCTGAAGCAGGAGGGTCATGAATTTGAGACCAGCCTGGGCTGCACAGTGAGATCATCTTCAAAAAAAGAAACAAGTATAAAGCAACAGAAGTAAGAAGAACGAGAATAAAACAGTAAATATATTTTATTGCAGAAGGCTCTGGGTTCAGTTCTTAACGTGTAAAAGAGCTATTGAATTTTAAAAATTTGGTTTAAACTTTATGTTTTCATTAAGTTTTAAAATGTTTGGCAGACAGTTTTTTTATATAGTAGTTTTCCTCATGATATGTGCAATTTATTTTGGAGTGAGAAATGGAGTAGAGATATACTATTTTTGGTAGGAAGTTAGTTATCTGCCTGTCGAGGTAGATTTGAGTCCATTCAATCTAGTCTCAGCATGTGTAGAATATGTCTGAGTAGGTACTTAGTGTAGTTACTTTCTTTCCTCCTTTGGTACCCATTTTGGGGCTTGAACCCTGATCCTGAGCACTGTCCCTGAGCTTTTTTGATCAAGGCTAGTGCTCTACCACTTGAGCCCATTAGTGCTTAATTGGAGATGAGAGTCTCATACATTTTCCTTCCCCCAGCTGGCTTTGAACCATGATCCTCAGATCTCAGTCTCCTGAGCAGCTAGGATTACAGGTATGAGCCAATGGCACCCAGCCATGGTTCCTTCCAGCTCACTTCCTTCCCCCCTCCTCCTCCCAACTTGTTTGGCTATACTTTTGTGGTGGTTTTCCCATAAGACTTAGAAGACTTTAGCTCTAAAATGGAAATTTTGATATCATCAATTTAATAAGTTTACATTCAATAAAACCCACTGTCTGGGCTTAGGGGCATACTAAAATGGTAGAGCATCTAATTGGTAAGCTTGAGGCCTCAGCCTGAGTTCAGACAAAGGAAAGAACACTATCACAGGGACTGTATATACTAATGATAAGTTGTATCCTGATTTCAAAAAATTAATTGTGGAAACAAATACACAACATTGAGTCGGGAAATAATATGATGAAAGAGAAGCGCTATTTATTACCCAGAACTTAGAACACGGTGTGGCTAGCACAGTGATGTGGAGTTCGTGGCTTTAAGATGCAATTCAAGCTTACTATGTTCCCCGGTGATACACACTGTTGGTCTATGCATCACCGCCCGTGTGGAAAGACAAGGCAGGGAGGAAGGTTCTTCTTTGTTTTTAGTTTTGATGGAGGGAGGAAAGAGACACCAGCCTGGAGCTCTTCTGCAGAGGAAGTGCTAGTTCTTAGTGAACTCTTTTTTTTAACCAGTACTGGAGTTCACACTTGTGCCTGCTTGGCTTGCTTGTTCAGCTGGCGCTCTACCACTGGAGCCAAACCTCCTGCTCTGTTTATTTGCTGATTATTTTGGCGATGAAAGTTCTTTTCTCTTGGACTTTTGTTCTTGGGCTGGCTTCAAACTGTGATCTCTGCATCTCAGCCTCCTGATTGCTAGGATTGCAGGTAGGAGCTACTAGTGCCTGGCTCCAAGCATGTGTTTCAATATGTATTATCAAGTATTACACTTGAGAAAGAAGCTCGCTGTTATGCATTATAGGGAAGTTACTTTCCTTCACTGTGGAGAGTTCTGTGTATATCTTACTGAAAAGGATGCGCTGTATTGAGTAGTGGACTGACCATGGATGTTTTCTTGGAACTAAGGATGTTCTTCCTTTTTTCCCCGGCAGGCAGCTTTGTTTGCACTCCAGAATCTTTTTGAAGAGGATTATGCTCCCCGGCCTATTTTTGTAAGTTCTAAAATGTTTGCTTGGTAAATTTTGTTTTATTAATAATTGCTATTTTGAGTCTAGCTACCTCCTCAGCTCCTGGAATAGTAGAATGGTAATACCTTCTAGATACCATTTTTTGTAACTTCCTAACACCGCTTCTGGTCGAAAACAAACTCCCCTCTGGTAAGGCAAGGAAATGAATCCAGAGGTGATGGTTGGGAGAAGGCAGACTGTCTAAAAAAAGCCTGTCTGAATCCAAAAGCTTAAAGGCCTGGTCTGGTTAGCGCCACGCAGGAGTGACCCTGCATGCTGATTAATACCAGATGCTGAAGACCCCAGACACCAGTTCACTCACCCAATGAGCAGATCTGTGTGAGCATCCTAAGACTGCTCAGTGAGGACAGAACATCAGTGCATGGGCGTTGTATGAGATGCAACAAGGGTCTCTTCCTGGTGAAGGAACAAAGAATGTCATTGTGTCCATTTCATCTCTAATGCTGAATTCTCAAGACTGCATTATTGACTTGCTGTGTTAATTCAGATCTCAGGGACCATTGTTGATAAGAGCGGGCGGACTCTCTCTGGACAGACGGGAGAGGCCTTTGTCATCAGTGTGTCTCATGCAGATCCCCTGTGGTGAGTACCTCTGCCTTTGTGTTGCATATCCCTATTTATGGGGCAACCAGAAGCATCCTAGGTTGGAATAAAGTAAGACTTCTGAAACTCAACTTTTTATCTCTTAGCCTGATTAACTAGGGGCAGGTAGAGGCATCAAACAATATGTGAAAGATAGATATGTAAATGTTTAAGAAACTATTGCTCGGGCTGGTAGGGTGGCTCAGTGGTAGAGTGCTTGCTTTGCATGCATGAGGCCCTGGGTTCGATTCCTCAGCACCACATAAGCAAAAAGAAAAAAGCCAAAAGTGGTGCTGTGGCTCAAGTGGTAGAGCGCTAGCCTCGAGCTGAAGAGCCCAGGCCCAGAGTTCAGGCCCCATGACCGGACTCCTCCCCCCCCCCCAAAAAAAAAGAAACTATTGCTTACTTGTTTGTGATTATCGTAAAACATATAAACAAAGAACAACAGGATGGAGCTCTATATTATTGTTATTACTTATTGAAGTCCTGCCATGTCCTGGAATACTGGCAAATAAATAAACAGGTTAAAATAAAAAACATAAAGTGCTTTGCAGAAGAATGAAGAAAACTTGGCCATTCAAAGGCGTAGTGGGGGAGGATTCAGAAATGGGTCTGTGGAATAGGTACATTTAAGCAATCTCTGGAGTTCGCTAGTTCCAGAGACAGATTGTGTGTAGCAGAGCGAGTTCATGTCAGTTTGAGAGCTGAATAGTTGAGAGGACATTTCCAAATGTCATGTTGTAGTTGTACTTCAGTAAAACCTGAGAGTCAAGTGGGCATTATTTTATTCACTCAACAGATGAGAACTGAAATCACCTAAGCACTGATATGAAGTGTGGGAAAGCTCAAACATCTTTTCTAGTGATAATGATGTACAGAATCTTTCAGGTTTTTTTTTTTTTTTGACACATACTGATTCTAGGTGACAAGATGAGGGAAAAGGTTAAGTGACAAGATGAGATTAGGCATGGAGCTCAGCTCAGTAAGTGTTCTGGAGCGCTGGAGGCTTCCCACACACTGGGCCTGCCAGTCTGACTTGAGTTGCTCCAGTGTGGCATTGGGACACAATGTCAGACCTACTGGAGATCAGTTTCAGATTTACAGAACATTTGAGGAAAAAGTACAGTGGGTCTCCACTCACACCTACTTAGCTCCTGCCCCTCTCCATCCACTTTCTGTATTATTATCATGTACCTTGATGGTTATTTGTTACAATAAGAACCACCAGAGTGCTGTGTAACTGAAGCCTGAGTGTCTTCATGAGTTTTGACAACTGATAATTAAAATTGTATTGCCCTGAGAATCTCATAGGCTCTGCTGGTTTCTCCTTTTTTTCTTGCCTGCTGGCAGCTAATCCTAGAGTTTTGCTTTTTTTAAAGAATTGGGGTGTAGTTGTAATTGTACAGTATATATCCTTTTCAGGTTGGCATTTTCTTTTCATTTAGCAATATAAATTTATTTATTTATTTTTGGCCAGTCCTGGGGCTTATACTCAGGGCCTGGGCACTGTCTGTCCCTGAGCTGCTTTTGCTTAAGGCTAGTACTCTACCACTTGAGCCACAGCACCACTTCCAGCTTTTTCTTTTTATGTCATACTGAGGAATTGAACCTAGAGCTTCATGCATGCTAGGCAAACACTCTACCACTAAGCCACGTTTTCAGCCCTTTTTAGCATTTTTATAGCGCTTTCTTTTTAAAGCTTTGAGTGATATTCTGTTCTTCATATGTACCACTGTTTTCACATTCACGGTGTTCACCTATGAAATAAAGTGCTGTGACCATTTGTGTGTAGTCTTTTGTACAGACATGATTTTAGCTTGCTTACGTAAATAGCAATGAGCATGACTGCTGATCATTTGGTAGGAATTTAATTCTGAAAGAAACCAGCAGTCTGTCTTTCAAAGTAGCCTTGCCTTTTTAGTTCTCCAGCAGCACAGGGTGAGAACACATGTCGTGCCATGTCCCGGCATTTGTTTTCCACTGTTCTGGGTTTAGTTGTGCTAGCAGGGGTGTAGTGAGAACTCATTTTAATTTTCAGGCTATGGAAAAGCTTTTCATATGTTTTTTGCCATCTGTGTGTGTGTGTGTGTGTGTGTGTGTGTGTGTGTGTGTGTGTGTGTGTGTGTGCATTTTGGTTTTGTTTTAGTGAGGTGTTTTACATTTTTCACTTTTTAATATTAGACATATTGTTTTCTTGTGGCTTACGTATTTTCTTTGTATTCTGTTACTCACTTTTGTTGGTGTTGGGGTTTGGATGAGAGCCTACTGCTTGCCGTGTAGCACTCCCCCACTTGAGCCACACTCTCAGCTTTTCTTTTGCGTTTGTTATTTTCATGTGATTTTTGCCTGCAGCAAGCTTTGGACATGAAGAGGACCTTTGCCTCCTTGTAGCTAGGATCATTGGTGTGATTGATTTGCGATGGAGACTCACTAAATTTCTGCTTGGGCTGTCCTAGAACTATAATTCTCCCAAAATCTATGATTATAGGTGTGAGCTATTATGCTCAGCCCTGTTGATGAGTTTTCTGAGTTTTTATTTTATTTTTTAAAACTATTAGCCAATCCATGACTGTATTTAAACACATTTACTCTGTAAGGCGTTGCATCCTCTGGCTGGGTCCTTTAGCTGTAAGGTCATCTGAGGTAAAGGCATAGATAAGAATACTCAGTGTTGAAAGGAGGAGGTGGTTGGGACTACAGCTAAGTTAGGGCTTTGCATGAAGACAGTTTTATTATCTGCTGAATTTTAGGCCAACTCTTTTACATGCATACATATTCTGAATGGAAGATGCTGCTTCAAATACATGTCTTATCCTATTTTGTTCAATTCTAGCATTGGATTAAATTGTGCTCTGGGTGCAACTGAAATGAGACCTTTCATTGAGACAATTGGAAAATGTACCACAGCCTATGTCCTCTGTTATCCTAATGCAGGTGCGTATTTCACGGGCATGTAAGTGTGGAGAGATCTGTGTACATAAGTGTGGTAGATGGGGAAAGTTATCATAACTAAGAGAATTTATGTTATAGGTAGGTGTGTGTGTGTGTGTGTGTGTGTGTGTGTGTGTGTACATGTATGTAATTCTGTGTACCAGAAATTTCTCAAATCAAGAATACTAGGTTGTAGAACAGTTTTTCCTTAGACTTGGAGCTTCAGGGTAGGGACTGAGTCTAGTTACAACTTAACCAAGCCTTTATCCTCAATGATGGTGCCCACTGTGGGGAGATGACCAGAGGAAGAGAGGGAGAGGGAAACTTGTATATACTGTACTCCAAAAGCTAAGGCTTCTTAGGCTGGGTATAAATATTCCAACGATATTTGTAAATAATTCTGAAGCTATGCAGGTAAATATTTGTAATACATTCATATAGTTAGGGTTAACAGGTTTGCCTGTGTGTGTGTGTGTGTTTGGTGTTTGGTGTTTGTATATGTGTATATGTATATGTGTGCCTATAGTGGTGTTTGAATTCAAGGCCAGGGTATTGGCCCTTAGCTTTTTCACTCAAGGCTAGCAGTATTATCACTTGAGCTACACCTCCATTTTTGGCTCTTTGGTGGTTAATTATTGATAAGACTCACAAATTTCCCTGCCCACGCTGACTTCAAACCACAATCCTCAGATCTCAGCCTCCTGAGTAGCTAGGATTGTAAGTGTGAGCTATTGGTGCCCAGCCCCAGTGAATGTTTTTGAGTACCAGGCAGCTATTTAGGATAAAAACAATTTTCTAGCTTTTTTCCCCTTCAAATATATACATTTTATTTCTTCTTCAGCAGTATTGGAGTTTGACTTGTACTTGCCTAGTAAGTACTCTGTCACCACAGCCAAACCCCTGCCCTTTTTGCTTTAATTGTTTGTAGGTAGGGTCTCCTGTTTTTGCCTGGCACTGCAGCCTTCCTACCCTACCAATGCCTCTTGGCCTCAAACTATAATCCTTACCATCTCTGCCACCTGAGAAGCTGGGCTTACAGATATGAGCCACCATGCAAGTAAGGTGTCTTGCTTGCTTTTACAAGAAATTACTGTTTGATTATGAATACCAAATTTAAAAACTTTCAATTTAAAACATTTAGAAAAAAAACAGTACTGGGCTGGAACTTAGCTCTAGAGGTAGAATGCTTACCTAGCAATCACAAGACCCTGAGGTCAGGCTCCAGACTACAAATGGACCAAATAAACCAACTGTTGCTGGTACTTTGGAATGATGCTTTTCCTGTCCTTCCTCAGGCCTTCCCAACACGTTTGGTGACTATGATGAAACACCTTCCATCATGGCCGCACACCTGAAGGTCAGGCGTTCCCTTTAACACAGGTTGGGTTGTTCAGGGATGGATGGAATTACAGTGTTTCTTGAGTTTCAGCCTCGTAAGTAATTGGGATTCAGTTGGGCTTAGATGAAGAATATTTAGGAACAATTTACCCACAGAGAGCCCAGAGTATAAAAAAAGGAACAGTTTCGTTCCCTGGATTAAGGTAGCCGAGGCACGGGGCTATTTCTGGTCGGCACACAGTCTATGAGCTCCAGCCGAATCAACTGAGACGACTCTCTTCTGCCACACTGCTTCAGCTGCAGACTTTCTAAGACATGATGCTCCTTGTTCACCCATCACCCTGCTGAATGTCTCACCCGGCTCCTACCTCTGCCCTCTTCTCCTGTGTGCCTACCAGTTTTGACTCATGAGATGATCTGCCTACCACCACCACTCCTCAGCTCTAGTCTACTCACTTCTGCATCTCTTGTTTCGTTCCTTGAATTGCTAGATCTTGGCTCACTGAGTTCTCTCTTAACCATTTCTGACTTCATTTTTAGAATTTCGGTGGCTGGATTTTGCTATGTATTCTAGGGTGGTCATGAACTCAGGATCTCTTACCTCAGCCTTCTGAGTGCTGGGATTACAGGAGTACACTAATATACCATCAGGTCTCAGTGGCATGTATATGATCCTCAGTGCCTGACTTCGGTCTCAGCTATCCTGCGTCCCTGTCCCCTGCTCTGCAGGATGGCGCCTACCTCACATGCTGGTGGGAGAGCTTGAAATGCGCCACCTGTGATGGGAACTACATTTTTTAAATCTAAAAGTACATTTAAAAACTTGAAAATATATTATCCAAATCACACTCAGCTCAGCTAATGGGTTAAAAAAAACTTTTAACATCAGATGATGTATAAACATTTCATACTTCATTGTAAGTAATGTAAAGATTTCATGATACATGAACTGCCACAGCGCCACTTCCGGTTTTCTAATGGTTTATTGGAGATAAGAGTCTTATGGACTTTCCTGCCTGGGCTGGCTTTGAACTGTGATCCTCAGATCTCAGCCTCCTGAGTAGCTAGGATTACAGGCTTGAGCAACCAGTGCCAGCTCTGAGCTGCTTTTATTCAAGGCTAGCATTCTACCACTTGAGCCACAGTGCCACTTTTGGCTTTTTCTGTTTTTGTGGTGCTGAGGAATCGAACCTAGGGCTTCATGAATGCTAAGCAAGCACTCCAACACTAAGTCACCTTCCCAGCCCCAGATATGCTTATTTTGCTGACTAGTTGTATCTTAGATCTTCAGGAAATGTAGAAAGGAACAGTTTCTGTGATGAATTGGGTTTTGTGAATTTGGGATTTAGCTGAAATTCCCTGAACCCTTTCTTAAACACAGGACTTCGCTGTGGATGGCCTGGTCAACGTGGTCGGGGGGTGCTGCGGGACCACACCAGATCACATCAGGTAATCCACCTTACTTTACTCTCCTGCCCTTCCCCCACCATGTCTTAGAATGTGACTGTTGGGCACCTAGGGCATTTCAGGTAAAAAGAGTCTGTCCTTGCTTTATGTGACTGGTGTCTTTGAAAGCCGGGACACAGTGCACACACAGGGGAGGGCACCCAGAGACCCGGGAGAGGTCAGCAGTCCCTCAGCCATGAGAAGGCCTTGAGGAAATGAACTTCAAGAAGTCTCTATACTTCTTAAGGGCCCAGCTTAAGTCCCACTGTTCTCAACAGCTGCTATGTCCCGTGGGTGTTATGGGCCTCCATTGAAAGGAGGACCAGGTGGTGAGGCGATGAGATGACGAGCGTGTCAGGGTGCAGAGGAGGGCCCTGCCTGGTCCCGTGTACTCATTGTGCATGCTGGTGAGCCAGCGTGGCAAGCAAAGACACGATCGCTGCATGGAGTGTTCGTTCCTTCCATGGTGTGCCTTAGAGATTGCAATCGGTGCGCTGGAGTACAGCGATGACTTCCTGTGCTGTGCTCTCCCCTCATGCACACCATCACACACTGTTCTCATCTCCTGATAGTTCATTGCTTTTATTGACTTCCGTGCTAATAAACAGTTCTTGTGGTGCTGGAGTGGGCCCCGTGTCTCATGCATCCTGAGCACATGTTCTATCTACCACTGAGCTACACCTTCAGACCCAATTTCAGATAATGGTTTTTATTGTTATAAAGATGATGTTCAGAGAGGTTACAGTTATGTAAATCAGGTAATGAGTATGTTTCCTTTTGGACAGTGTCACCCCTCCCCTTAACTCTCACCCAGTTTTTCCCTCCCTTTAGCCCTAATTTTTTTGTTGTTGTTGTTAGTCCTGGGTTTTGAACTCAGGGGCTAGGCACTATCCCTGAGCTTTTGTGCTCAAGGCTAGCACTCTACTGCTTGAGCCACAGTTTCACTTCTGGCTTTTTGGTGGTTAATTGGAGATATGAGTCTCATGGACTTACCTGCCCAGGCTGGCTTGTAACTGTGATCCTTAGATTTCAGTCTCCTGAGTAGCTAGGATTACGGGTGTGAGCCATCAGCCTGTTTGTTATATTTTTATCTATCTACATATTTGTGTTTTTGCTTAGATGTTCACTTAGGAGGTGTAGATTGAGCACTGGTTACTGGTCCTGATACCTTTAGTAGTGTAGGCAAGTTTTTCCTGGTTCATCATTAAAGCTGGTAAGGTGAAAGAGAATGAAGGGCCCTGGCCAGCCTTCTTGCCTATGTTCTCCTCGAGGGTGACATCCTTTTTTTGATTCAGCTGTTGATTGGCTGCTGGAAATACTCTGTGTGTGGATTTGAAGCATATGAATGTCTGTGGGTCTGAGGAGGGGAGGTTTGAGTTTGCTTTCGTAGACCTTTTCATAGACATAGCTTCAGAAATAGAAACAAGGCAGCCAGTACATGCCTGGCCACCAGCCGGCTCTTCAAAGTTCAGGTTCATGAGAAAACCAAAAGGTGGCCGGGCGCCGGTGGCTCATACCTGTAATCCTAGCTACTCAGGAGGCTGAGATCTGAAGATCGCAGTTCAATGCCAGCCCGGGCAGGAAAGTCCTTGAGACTCTTATCTCCAATAAAAACCACTAGAAAACCGGAAGTGGCGCTGTAGCTCAAGCGGTAGAGCACTCACCTTGAGCTGAAGAGCACAGGGACAGCGCCCAGCCCAGAGTTCAAGCCTCACCACCGACCAAAACCAAAAAACAAAAAGGTGTAATTGCTACAGCACATATGCAAGTAGGTATGTGCATGCTTAATGTTAACATAGACTTTATTTCATAGCTGGAAATTAATTAAATTTATTTCATTCTGAATTAATGAATATAATGTTTTCTGTTTTAACTTAGGGAAATTGCTGAAGCTGTGAAAAATTGTAAGCCTCGAGTCCCCCCTGCTGTGGTTTTTGAAGAACATATGTTACTGGCTGGTAAGTCTTGAAGATGGAGTGGTTATGATTTTGGAAGCCATTTGTACAATGTATTGGTATGTTGATTCTAAGCAATGTTTGTGCCAAGCTTCATGGTTCCTTGATCAAAGAGGAGTATATGTTTTTCGTGGCCCTTACCTGAGTTCTAGGGAAGCGCTGCCTCTCCAGGGCAGGAATGGTTCAGGCGCTTTAGGGTAGAAGTGGGTGGTTGGAACAGGGAGTGGCTGGTCACAGTCAGGAGCCGTGTCTTGTCTGTCCTGCACTCACACGCCTGGCCAGGCCTAAATATTTTGAATTGTCAGGCTGAGTTTAGTTACTGGACTTTGCAAATTGCCAAGGCCCTGTGCTTGGTAACGGTAGGAACATCTTTCTGGAAGTTTCATTTGCTTCCAAAACATGATTGTCACCTTCTGTTTGCCATATGTTTTGGACTTCACAAAGAGTTGTATTTACTTCTGTTTGTTTTTCAACAATTCTGTGAGTAGCCTTCTTTTTCAGCATGTGTCTTGATATTCAAGGAATGTTATTAAAATCCATCTTTTCCCAACTGTTAGAAAAATAATTTTACACTTTCATATTTTTACCACTACACATTAGTGAAGTAGTAAATAGTTTAGGCAAAAGTAGGATTTTTTTTTTAGGAAAAATTATTGTTAACACATGGAGGGACTCTTATAGCATGGTTTAACAGCTTTCTACATTGAAATAATTGCTTCTACTGTTATCATAAGAAAGACAAAATAAAATACAAGTTGCAGCCAGAGTTCACTCCTGTGAAGTCAGTGAACGTGTGTCTTTAGGCTAGCCTTTTTTTCTTTTGCTGCTACATGAGTCAGAGTGACACTAGGAACAGTGAGGTTTATAGTTTGTGATGGGTTCGTTGGCTTGAGAGCAGCAGGCAGGCAGGTTTACTTCACCTCTGGAGTAGCTGAATGGATGCATATAACGAAGTATCCAGCCTTTGCCAGAATCAGAACAAGACAGATATTGACATAGGACATTTTAGAGTTGTATGTGTGTGAGCATCGGTACTGGTGTTTGAACTTGGGCTTATTACTCCTGCTTGGCTTTTACTTGAGCTATGCCTCCAGTTCTTTTTGCTGGTTATTTGGAGATTACAAGTCTCAAGGTTTTTATCTTCCTTGTCTAGCTTAGAACTTGGATCCTCAGATCTCAGTCTTCCGAGATTACTACCTAGGATTATAGATGTGAACTACTGTGCTCAGTTTTCACACACTATTTCTAAATTTCTGCAGTGGTCACCTTCTATTAAAATTTGAATGATACACAGCTCACTTTCTGAGCTGAGCTTTGTACCATTTGTTTTATAGATGATAAACTTCAGGAGGCACTGCCTTTCCTTGATTTTCCATTCATGACTAGATGAGAAGCACTAAATGAGGTGCTGTTCAGCAAGGTTGACATCCCTGAAGGAGGAGGACTATCTTGAGACTTGCTGGGTCTCTGAGGATCATTACCAATGGGAAGAGAAATCCAAAGTCAGACCATAGCAGTGATTGTCTTGTGGCAGTGAATAAATGGCCTGGGATAGTTCTCTAATCACCCAGCAGCTTCTACTAATTGTTTTCTTCTTATATCTGATAATTTCAGCCACTGCTTTGGTAAAGGACTCGACAGCCCTTTTATTAACAACATTCTAGTTGCTGGTGCTAATGTTGTGCTCATTATCACCCAGATAATTGTACAATAGCAATATGTGGCAGGTCATTCCTGTCCCTGCTTTGTAAGCTTAGAGGCTGCACGTGTGGGAGTGGCCTCAGGTGTACAGTCAAGTAAGTGATCCCAACCCAGGGTTGGCTGTCCACAGAGCCTGCACAGAGCCTGCACACAGCCATCTAGTGAGACGAAAAATAACAAGTAGGACAGAAGCAGTTCAGAGCCTTTTACTTACTGCTGGAATGTGTCCCCATGGATGAGCTGATACTTGCCCTGGAAGTAGCCTGTCCTGGAGCAGATCTGGTGACAGTGCTCAATGCCGAGTGGCTTGCTTGGGCAGCTCCTTAGTGGAGTAATTCCTGTCTCTACTTGGGTCCTTCCTCACGTGAGCCTTGTTGGTCATGGGTTCTTGATGTGGATCAAAGAAGGAGATGAAAAAAAAAAGGAGATGATAATACTCTAAAAGTGCTGAGTGAACTTGTTCCTTCCAGCCTTACACTGATGTCTGGGCAGACACCTGTGGAACAATCCTCTATTTTACTACTACTACTATTACTACTGCTGCTGCTGCTGCTGTTACTTTTGGTGACAGGGTTTTACTGTGTGACTCAGGCTAGCCTGAAACTTGAGAACTTGAGATCCTCCTGCCTTGCTTCCTGAATGCTGGGATTATAGGCATGTGCCACCATGCCTACCATTTATGATTTTGACTTTCTTTAAGGTTTGTGCACAGTCTCAGTTTAATAAGAATGTATGATAACTCTACTTTCTCAGAGATGGTTTGGTTCAATAGAGGTATTTGTAGCACAAAGCCCTGAAACATTCCGTCTTTTGGGAATTCTGTTTAAAAATATAGCTATATCAAGAAGCTTTTGCTACATTTGAGTCTCCCTAAGAAAGATATGTTTCCATATTAGCTATCTTGTCTCTCTGCTCAGATGAGCTTTGGCACAGAAATAAAAAGAAACTTCTTTATTTTTATTAATTTTAGAACTCAGGCCCTTGGGCTTGCTAGGCAAGCAATCTGCCACTGGATCCATGCGTCTAGTTCAGCAACTTTCTTTTACTGAAAATATTTGTGTCTGTCTTATGTCATCCATATGCTTTTTCAGGAAAATTTCAAAATGCTTCTCCTTTTAAGGTCTAGAACCCTTCAGGATCGGACCCTACACCAACTTCGTTAACATTGGTGAGCGCTGTAACGTGGCAGGATCCAGGAAGTTTGCTAAACTCATCATGGCAGGAAACTATGAAGTGAGCATCTTCATAACACCCCAGAGGCGGCTGCTCTCTGCTCTGGGTGGACAGTACATGTGTCACTGAGTGGCTCACTGCCCTTTGGCAGTGCCGTTAGCAGGGCTGCTAGGGAGTGTGTAAAGATGGCAGCAGGTTTGGGCTGGTTGGAGGGTGAAGCTTGGAAAAACTGAAGCTGTTCTTGTCAGTATTTGTCAAAGAGTACTGCATTTGGGGCATGAAGTGGGATGGGAGGGAGGGATCAGTTGAGAAGTAAGTTTAAGTACCTGAGAATAGCTTTTACTCTGGCTTCTCAGAAAAGGAAACAAGAAAGTCAAGAAAGTTCCTGTTGAGTTCCTCCTGACCATATCAAATGCCAAATGATGACATAGTACTCTATAGGAGGTAGACTAAAACCAACAAGTAGACATATGTGCCTTGGGAAGTAGTTGTGATAATTTCAGCCAGGTATTTTTAACCTTATAGCAGATGAGCAAAATTTAATCCACATAGTGACTGTCAAAGACATCTGAATAGATGTAATTGTTTTGCAAATATGAAGTTAAAAATGGAAGAACTTGGTTTGAGTTTTAGTATTTATATTATTTTATTATTATATATTAGAAGGTTATTTTGTCAACCTATTCTTCTTACTTTAAGGTTACATAATCTTTAAGAAATTAGCCGTGTGCTGGTGGCTCACGCCTGTAATCCTAGCTACTTAGGAGACTGAGATCTGAGGATCACATTTCAAAGCCAGTCTGGGCAGGAAAGTCCGTGAGACTCTAATCTCTAATAAACCACTAGAAAACCGGAAGTGGCACCGTGGCTCAAGCGGTGGAGTACTCGCCTTGTGCTGAAGAGCGCAGGGACAGCGCCCAGGCCCAGAGTTCAAGCCCCATGACTGACCAAAAGAAAAAAAAGAAATGCATTTTCTGGAAACCAGTGTCACAGCAGATTGAGTTTGCAGTTTGAACCTGCTGATGACTGTCCTGGTGTTGTCTCTTGCTTCTTAGTGCAGAGCCTAGTTCCCCAGTTTACTTCCTTCCTCCTTAGTACTGCTCTTTGTTGCCCTATGCTTCCATCATAGTTGGTCTCTAGCTAAAAGTTTATAGGGCAGCTTATTTGTCATTTAGTTTACAGTCTACAGTCTTACAGTTGTCAACCTGCCCTTTCCCCGTAGTCTTAGAGCCTTCCTATCCTGGCCTGTCATCTGAGCTTTGTGGAGCTTTTCTTTTGCCACCATGTGTTGGCTTATTTACTCCCTTCTGAAGTGCTAAGGTAATATACAGAATGCCTAGTTATATGGCGTTCTGCAGTGAGTGTTTCTACTTGTGTTTCAATCCTCAGCCTGTTCTATAGTGTTCCTCTCAGCTCTCAATTTGATGGGTTTGACACTGAGGGCAGAGATCATTTTAGGAAGAAGCTAACTGGTGGAAGTCATGCATTTAATGAGCTATTTCTATGTGCTCATCACTGCAGTCCTGCAAATTGGTGCTGCTTGCTGTTCCCCAGTGTATGAATGGGGCCATGGAAGCTTGTTTCACAGCCAGCAAGTGACAGAACCAAGCAGATCGAGCTGAAGCCCTTAACCACCTGCTGTCTGCCTGGCAGACACAGTAGAGGCAGGAGGAACAAGGTGTGTGTGAGGGTGCTCAGTGGATCTAGCTTTCCCTACTCTGGATCCTTTGAGGCGTGATGGTTTCATGACAAGATCACTGGCCTGTAAACAGTTCCAGTCCTGACTTCTTGCTCGACTTCTGCATCTTTAAAGATACCATGACGTGTCTCTTGAGCTTGTGTCAAGGGCAAACACCTTTGATCTGTTCTCCAGCAGTGCCCATACACCAGCTCAGGTCTTGGCTTTGTTTTCCAGGTTGTTTGCCCTCTGTTGCCTCCCTTGCTTCTCATCTGTCTTTCCTCCTGTCTCCCCCCCACTGGCTGGCTTTCTCCACCACTTCATAGACAACTTTCATGTTTCTGGGTGTTTATATAATCTCGGTATCTAAACATCACAGGCAGAAAGTCTGTCAATCAGGAAGTATCCTTGAACACACAGATATTTTGCATAGCATTGTTGAGAGTAGGAACTTAGTAAGACCTCTTTCTTGGTTTCTAAGCACAATAAGTCTATTTTAGGAGTACTCAGAAAGTACAGCAGGAAGTGACAGGGTAATCATGTGACAATGAGGTCCACAGGCCACAGAGCTCATTCTGTTCTTGGACGGTCACAGTACATGTGTATTCAAGGATTTGAACAGCCTTCCAGTATAAAGATGTGCTGAAATATATTTATCTCACTTGCATGTAATGCCTCTCAAGAGCCTGTGATAAACGCTTTGTACATTTTGGCAAGCATCGAGAAGTTAGAGTTTTGGATGGGTTCTCTGAGGACCTTGCTGGAAGCGGGTAGGACTTTGGCTGGGTGTAAACCAGAGTGGAAGGGAAAAGAGATTTTGTTGCCAACAGCGGCACCAAGTGGGGGCAGTGGGAAGTGCAGCTGGGTGGGAGGTGGGGCCATCTCAGAAGGGTTTGACCACTAGGTGGAGAGTTTAGGGTCTTTGTTAGAAAGCTGCCTTGGTTGATTCCTGGTAGCAAAATAATGTGGGGAGGAGTTGTGTGAGGAAGATTACTTGGTGGTAGTGTGCTCAGACTCAGGTTGCCTGGGTGGTTTGCAGTTAGAAACAGCTGCCGGGTGGTGTGAATTTGCTTTTGTTGGCCTGCTCAGGGTCACCATCACCTAACTATGCTTCTCTGTCTCTTCTTCTTCAGGAAGCCCTGACTGTTGCCAAAGCGCAGGTAGAAATGGGAGCCCAGGTGCTGGACATCAACATGGACGATGGCATGCTGGACGGGCCAAGTGCAATGACCAGATTTTGCAACTTCATTGCTTCTGAGCCTGACATTGCCAAGGTTGTGCAGAATTTCTGCTCCTCGAGGGCGTTTGTGCTGACATCCATGGAGCTTTGCCAGTTGTCTCATAGATCTCTCTACTCATGAACCAGTCATCTATTTTCTTACATTGATTGTCAGCTTTTCTTGACTAATGCTCACATTTTTTAAATAAGCCTGATTTTTGGACATCCATGGCTGGGCAAGCCTGTTTCCAAGGCTCTAGGAATGGGATTCCCCATGTGTGTGGACAGGCTGGAGCCACTTTCCACGTGCTGGAGGATCTCTGACCTGTTCCTGCCATGCAAACCTTGTTTGCCGCAGCCATGGTATGCAGCGTGCCCTCGCTGCGGGAAGGGATCTGTTAGGCATGCTGAAACAGCAGCATAGAATACTATTGTATCAACTTCTACATGTGTTCTTTAAGCTTGTTTTTATGTTAGTGTTTTAAGAAGTTTAGAGCGTTCTGAAAGTTTTAAAAATATCACCTCCTCTGCCATTAAATCTGATGAGAAGAGAGTTTTGAAGTTTGGCTTTTTTTTTTTTTTTAAGAATTTTCGGTGTTCTAAGATTTTCATTTCTCAGCTTGGGCTGTCAGCAAATGCTAAAGTTAAAATTGCATTTTACCCTCCTTCCATTGAGAGATTAAATTCCTTCCTAAAAAGCCTTAGCATTTCCCATAGTAAACTGAGACTTTCAGGCATGAAGCCGCTTAGTGTCAGTGAGGTGCTGGTGGTTCATGTTTGTGATCTCACCTGCCCAGGAGGCTGAGAGCTCAGTAATCTGATTCAAAAACAGTCTGGACAGAAAAGTCCTTGAGATTCTTATTTCCAATTAATAGCAAAAAGCTGGAAGTGGAAGTGTGGCTTAAGTAGTAGAATGTCAGCCTTGAGCAAAAAAGCTAAAGGAGAATTCTTTTTTATTTTTTTTATTTTTATTTTTAAAAGAATTCTTTGGGCCTGATTTCAAGCTCCAGTACTGCCACATGCATGCGCGTGCTTGCGCGCATGCACACACATACACACATACACAAGCTTAGTGGCCTGTTCAGAGTCCATCTGTCTTGAGTCAGAGGCAGAGCCAGTTGTCAGCTTTGGGCAGAAGTCTGGCTCCCTCAGCTGGGCACATGATGAGGTTTTGACTTTCCTCAGCTCCAAAGCCGTTCAGCGGGCTGTTGTCACTTGTGAAGAACCTCCTTTAACATGAGGGATTATTACCCAGTATTCCAATCGCCACAAAGCATTTTCCCTGTCTTTCCAGGTTTTGACCTATGACTAAAATCCACTGGAGGCCAAATGTTAGCCAATGAAATAGAACAGAAAAGTGTTTTAATTAGGGCCAGGAGTGGTGATGTATGATGGGGAAGTGGAATAGAAGGATTATGTTTGGAGTAGAAGCCAGCCCAGAGCAAAGTTGGCCCAAGATCCTGTCGGAAAAGTTCTGGGGTGTGGATCAAGTGGTAGAGTGCTTACCGATCTGAGTTTCAACCCTAGTACTGCAAAATCTGAAAAAGAAAAAAGTTCTGCTAGCATATTTTCACCAGTGTGGTTGGGACACCACACACGATTAGCAGGCCCTTGAAAACATTGCCCTGGTAGCACCATTGCTTTTGACTCTCTCTAGCGAATCTCTATTATTGGCATGCTAAGAAAAAGCAAAATTAGCAGAGTCCTTCCTCTTTTTTTTTTTTTTTTTTTTTTGGGGGGATGGCTTAGGGAATTGATAACCCACCCAGTTAAGTATCTCCAGCACTGGGAAATGTCCCAGAATTCTCCCCTTCAGCCTCCTTTGTGGGCAGACAGAGTTTAGAGTCTGGGAAGTATGTTTTCATGACAGTCTGTACCTAGTATTCATTCTGTACCTAGTATTCTTGAAGGTACTATACTTACATTGTTACTTGTCTAATCATTTATCATTTTAAGCTTGGTAAAGCTGGTAGCCTGTCTGTCTTATCATTGTCCCAACATGGAACCCAACATGGTAGTCAGCTATTGAGTCCCTAAACAGTGGGGCCTAGGTTAGCTGCCTGTTTCCTTTGCATGGATGAAACCTTCCCTTGTACCTTTCTTGGAACAGGGTATTAATTAGAAAGGAACCTGTTCTCTTCTGTACATCCAGTGTTGTCCTTCAGTTATACCCATTTGTTGAGATCCAATTCTCCATTGCAATAATGAAATTCATCTTTTCCCCACTGAAGAATTTTATTTTGTGAAGGGGAGACTGGGTTTGAATGAGTTGGCTGGAGGGCTGTTCCCAAAGGGGTTGGCTGAGCCCAGGGATATCTTGTTTGAGGTGTTTGCCTTGGAGTTTAGGTACTTTGAAGTGTAAACTAGGAGGGAAGCTGACCTGATCATTCTGATTGCATTCTGGGTTTTGAATAGCAAATGCTCCTTGGGCATGTGTTCTCTGGTAAGCTTTACCTACTTTAGGCTTTAAGCTTAAACAAGTAAAGTCCTATCTCTCAACACACTGTGGGTGTTTGTTTATTGTTTCTCTAAAGAAGAAACACCACGTGTTTCAGAGTCCTTGGGAGTGGGAGCATACTTGTGACCGAACTGTGGACTTCTTGCCTTTCTTTCTCAGGTCCCCTTGTGCATCGACTCGTCCAATTTTGGGGTGATTGAAGCGGGACTGAAGTGCTGCCAAGGGAAGTGTATCGTCAACAGCATTAGTCTGAAGGAAGGAGAGGATGACTTCCTGGAGAAGGCCAGGAAGATCAAGAAGTTCGGAGCTGCTGTGGTGATCATGGCTTTTGATGAACAAGGACAGGTGAGTCATTTCTGCTGGCCTAGCTCCATTGGGGAGTCAGAGAAAAGGAAGTCTGACTGATGTAGACACACACACACACACACACACACACACACACACACACACACACACACACACACACGATATATAGCATTGTAGATGTGTTGTTGTTGTCTTTATAGCAACAGAGAAAGGCTAGATTATTCAATAAATGCTATTGGGACAATTGATGATGCATGTAGAAGAAAATGAGCCCGGTTTAACCCATTTTGTGCTGCTTTCCTGAACAGCACAGATATAGTCATTTATAAACACTAGAGGTTTGTTTGGCTGAGTTGGGGAAGCTGGGAAGATTGAGGGACCACATCTGCTGAGTGGAGGCTCAAAGAGAAGGTGAGATAGAATGAGAGCAAGTGGCCTTTCATAACAAACTACTCTTGAGCTAATGAACCCTTTCTCTGATGACATTAATCCATTTGTGAGGGAAGAGCCCTCATAAATTACACAAATTACTCAGTCTAATTAGTATCTCAGTACTAGCCCCGGACTGCCATATACTGAAACAAAGTCTACTCAGTTGAAGATTTAAATGTAAAAAATTCTAAAGATATAGGAAAAAAGGTTATAGATCTGTTGAGGTGAAAATATGAAACTTTATGTGGTAAACAGGTGGAACTGTGGCTGTGTTTGTAATAGGCAGAGTTTTTATAAGTCAGAGGGAATCCTGAGATCTAATAATCTCAGTTCAAAGCCAGCTCTGGCAGAAAAGTCCCTGAGACTTATTTACAATTAAACACCAAAAAGCCAAAAGCGGAGCTGTGGCTCAAGTAGTAGAGTAGCAGCTTTGAGTAAAAAACTAAGAGATAGCACCCAGATCCCGAGTTCAAGCCTTAGTATTGATGTTGCACATGTATGCATGTGTACGCACACACACACACACACCTGTACCCACAGAAACACACACAAAGAATGGATAAGGGGAATGGACAAGCAGTTTATAGGAAAAGGAGAACAATTAGGCGTAAACTTATGAGACGATTCTGTTTTGTAATGATTTCAGCCAAAAGGAAACTAAAGCATCAATGAGATTAGTTTCCTTCATCAAACAAAAAACTGTCTACTTATAAATGGCAAGTGTCGCCGGGCGCTGGTGGCTCACGCCTGTAATCCTAGCTACTCAGGAGGCTGAGATCTGAGGATTGCGGTTCAAAGCCAGCCCGGGCAAAACCGGAAGTGGCGCTGTAGCTCAAGTGGTAGAGCACTCGCCTTGAGCTGAAGAGCTGAGGGACAGCGCCCAGGCCCAGAGTTCAAGCCCCACGACCGACAAAAAAAAAAGAAAAAAATGGCAAGTGTCATCTCTGTCAGGGAGGCAGGGGCCCTCGGGAAGCTTCAGGGACTGGGACGTAAGCTGCTGCATCTGTGGTAACACAGGTTCCCTGGGCAGAAACTGGTTTGAAGATAGAATCCCCTTACTGAGAACTGCTGTGTGTAGATGCTTTGTGAAGCAGTACAAGCTGACAGGGGAGGAGCCCAGGCCCAAGGGAGCCCTGGGGAGGGGCCCAGAGAGCAGTCATGCTCTGCGGCTGGGAGAGGGTTAGACAGTGTCAGCGGCAGCCTGTTTGATAGGAGGGAGTCAGAACAAACTTCACAGAGAAGGATGCAATCAGCTGTTTAAAGAGCTGCGTTAGATCAAGTGGAATGAGATGGAGAATTTACCAGTGGATTTACATAGTGTCATTTGGGAGCTTGCTGTCTTGTTTCCTAGGAGATGATAGCTTTGCTGGAGCAGGTTCAAGAGAGGCTAGGAAAAGAACTGAAGTGGCAGGTGTAAAGACTTGCTGAAAGGGGAGCAGAGAAATAGGATAGAACGCAGGGTGGGGGCCTTTACGGTTAAGGAAGGGTACACATGTATATGTTATATGACTGTTTGTGTGAGCTGATGGGAAGTGATGCGGGCATTGATGCAGGAAAGCAGAGGGGGTGTTGGCTGGAGCTATGACCTTGTCAGTTGGGAGAGCAGTGAGCGTCCTAGCAGACCAGGGACTCTGAGTCAGGAGGAGGCAGGGAAGAGCACACATCTTTATGCTTGCTGGTTGATGGATAGTGGGAGCCAGATTGAAGATTTTTCTCTATGGCAGGAAGCAAGGTGTGGAAATGGGGTGTGGTATGCTTTGCTGGTCTTTCCCTTCCCCTCCTTTCCTTTCCTCTCCCCTTCCCTCTTTCCCCTTTATATTTCTTCTCCGCTTTGTATTCATTTTGGTATTAACATGGTTTCAACTCAGAGCTTTGTTCCTGCTAGGCAGATGTTATACTCCCACAGTCATAGTGCCAGCCATTTTTGCTCTGGTCATTTTTGAGAGTAGGGTCTCATTTTTTACCCAGGTTGGTCATGATCCTCCTATTTACACTTTTCTCCATAGCTGGAATGACAGGCACACATCACCACTTTCAGCCATTTCTATTGAGATGGAATCTTCAGAAGTTTTTTGTTCTGGTTGGCCTGGAATTGAGATCATTCCGATCTCAGCTTCCCACTGAGCTAGGGTGGGAGCACTGGCCACCTCGCCTAGCTAGAAGCCATGAATACACATTTATATGTGCATGAAATGTGATTGTTACACAGGGAGCACAATTGTTGTTGATGAAAGTAGAGATCTTTAAGCTGATTGTTCCTCTGATAATCTGATAGATATTTTTGAGGTTTGACATTTGGATTTCTATGACATCCTAGCATTGAGATTTGAGTAAAATGAGCTCTGCTACATAGATAACGCTCTGTGTTTTTCTTTTCCTTAGGCAACAGAAACAGACATCAAAATTAACGTGTGTACCCGAGCCTACCATCTCCTTGTGAAGAAACTGGGCTTTAATCCAAATGACATCATCTTTGACCCTAACATCCTGACCATCGGTACAGGGATGGAGGAGCACAACCTGTATGCCATCAATTTCATCCAGGCCACACGGGTCATCAAAGTGAGTACAGTGCTTTTCCTCGCCATCCACATCATATTAGCACATGGGTCCAGTGCATGTCCAGAGCTGTTGCATGTGTTTATTCTTTTTTTGTTTTTGTTTTTCTTTTTTTTTTTGCAAGTCCTAGGGCTTGAACTCAGGGCCTGGGCGCTGTCCCTGAGCTCTTTTGATCAAGTCTAGCACTCTACCACTTTGAGCCACAGTGCCACTTCTGGTTTTTATTTTTTTTTATTTTATTTTTTTTAAACCGGTTGTGGGGCCTGAACTCTGGGCCTGGGCGCTGTCCCTCAGCTCTTCAGCTCAAGGCTAGTGCTCTACCACTTGAGCCACAGCGCCACTTCCAGCTTTTTGCTTATGTGGTGCTGAGGAATCGAACCCAGGGCCTCATGCATGCAAGGCAAGCACTCTACCACTGGGCCACCTTCCCAGCCCACCACTTCTGGTTTTTGAGTGGTTAATTAGAGATAAGAGTCTCCAGGGGACTTTTCTGTCTGGGCAGGTTTCAAACTGCCATCCTCAGATCTCAGCCTCCTGAGGAGCTAGGATTACAGATATGAGCCATTGACACCTGGCTTGTATTTATTTTTGTTTTTAGGAAATTGTTTTTCTCAAATCTAGGGAATTTATTTTATACAGTGCTTTTTTAAGTTGTGGAGTCTTAAGTTGTGGAGCATCTATAAAGCATAGATGGACTGCTTACTAAAATGTATGTTTTGGGGCTGAGAACGTGGCTTAGTGACAGAGTGCGTGCCTAACATACATGAAGGCCTGGGTTTGATTCCACAGCACCACATAACACAGAAAAAGCTGCAAGGAGTGCTTTGACTCAAGTGATAGAATGCTAGTCTTGAGCAAAAAGAAGCTCAGGGACAGTGCTGAGGCCTTGAGTTCAAGCCCCAGGACTGGCAAAAAAAAAGTATTTGTGTTCCCCAAATCTCAGAGGAGCGTGTTTATGTGCAAGGTGATGGCCCCAGGTAAGGTTGAGCCTTTTTGTTTCTGCTCGTGTTCTTTACACGCATGTCCTGGGGCCATCGCTAGTACCAGCTTCCTTTAGTTTTGATCGTGATTTCCTGTTGTTAAAAGTGGCCTTCCCTCACAGAATCAAAATGCTGCGCCACCTGGTGTTCACGGGGTAGGGAAGGCAGTGATGTGCCTGACAGCAAAGCATGACGTGTTGATAGCAGGAGTCACAGTGCTGCTGGGCCATGGATTCAGCCTTATAGGACAGAATTACCAAAGAGTAAACAAGGCCCATATTTTAGCTTAATGTCAATAGAATCATAAGGTGCGTAAGTCTTTTTTTTCCCTTAAATGCATTATGTTTTTGAGACAAGGTCTCATTTTCCAACCCAGGCTGGCCTCAAACTTGTGATCCTCCTGCCTCTCCTTAGTGCTGGGATTATAGGCACATATCTCCATTCCTGACTTCAACCTCAAGTTGAAGTCCCATCTCTGTCGTTGTAGCTTCTGTGTTCATTTTTATGAATGAATACTCTCCCCTTGCATCACCATTCCGCCGTGAACCACTGTACTGTTGATGAACTTCTGATTTGTCCCAGCTTTGGGCTTAGGTGAGCACATACTCTCTTGTTCTGTATCTCCGGTACAGACCTTTCTCCACAGCCTCTGTCCAGGAGTGGAATGTTTGGGTCAGAGTACTGGACACCGACAAACTTGTCTCCCTAAAGCTTGAGCCAGTTTGTACTCAAACCAACAGCAGTAGGTGACTGGTGTATTGTTGCTCAGGCCTGCTGATGTGTGACTTTGCTACAGGTGGCAGAAGCCTCAGCTGCCTTCTGTGTTATTGGAATTGGTCAGATCTGTAATAAACTAGAGAGTTTGCTCATTCAAACTAGGGAAGTGGTCATCGGCTAGGCCTCTCAGTGATAGGAAATGTGTGCGTGCACATGTGCAGATGCACACTGACTGATGGTGTCTGTCTCCTTTTTTTGTCACTTTTCCAGCAGCTGCTTTGTGGCACCATCTCTAAGTGTTGTACTCATCATGGTTACTGCAGAGGTAGACAGAGACAAAGTAGATTTTGTACTTTCCTGCGAGAGATTAAAGTAGAGCAGGAAAATCTGTTAATGAAGCAGTGTCTCAGCTTTCGTCTGTGTCTGGTAACAGCATGCTCTGAATTACTTGGGACTTCGATGTTTTTATTTTCCATTTGCATATGTAGTTTCAGAGGTGCAATCTATGGCCGCTTTTGGAAAAATAGAATCATTTCTGGTTTTAAATTTTTTCCAGGAAACCTTGCCTGGAGTGAGAATAAGTGGAGGTCTTTCCAACTTGTCCTTCTCCTTCCGAGGAATGGATGCCATTCGAGAGGCCATGCACAGCGTCTTTCTTTACCACGCCATCAAGGTAGGGTGGAAGCCGGCCTTTGCTGTGACTGGCTCATGGCCACTGTCTGTCACAGGCATCATTGGAGCTCCAAGCCCCACCCCTGCTCGTAGGTGATCACGTGACAGGTGTGGCTGGATGGCAGCCTGATAGGTCTTTCTGTTCAGGCATGGTGGTGAGCCCTCTCACGTTGCTTCTCTCACCCTTAGTGTGGTATGGATATGGGGATTGTGAACGCCGGCAACCTCCCTGTGTATGATGACATCCACAAGGAGCTGCTCCAGCTCTGTGAAGACCTCATCTGGAATAAAGACCCCGAGGCCACCGAGAAGCTCCTACGGTATGCCCAGGTACGAGGAGGGGCTGCTGAGGTCTCTCTTGTCTTTGACTTTTTTACTCACAGTTCCTGGGCATTTCTTGCATAATAGAAGTAAATGTCAGTTGGTTTTGGCTCACTTCAGATTTCTCCAGAGATCTCTGGCTGCTGCCGTTAGGGCCGGGAAGGAGATGAGACCAGGCAAGGATCCCTGTCTCCTTTTCTTAAATCTTCGTAGCATTTGCAAGAATGGGACAGTCTAGCATATAAGGTGGTTTCCTTCATGTAAACACACAGCCTTGCAGTTTTGTGTTTTGTTATTTTGTGCTTGGTCCTGGGGTTTGAACTCAGGGCCTAAAGTTCTGCCTCTGAGCTCTTTTGCTCGAGGCTAGCACTCTACCACTTGAGCCACGGCCCCACTTCAGGATTTTTGTGGTTAATTGGAGATAAGTCTCACAGACTTTCCTGGCCTGGCTGGCTTAGAACTACAATGCTTAGATCTCAGCCTCCTGAGTAGCTTGTATTATAGGCATGACCTACCAGCACTCGGCTTCAGGGACTTACTGAGCCCTCTGTCAAGTAGGTTATATTAGTGGAATTATGTTAACTTCTGGTAGTTGTCAACTCTGTAGTAATTCCTCAGGAGGCACTGAATTCAAGGGGCATGAAATGCAGAAAAGTGTGGGGCAAATAAGGATCAGAGAAGTTCCTGACTGATAATATAATTGAAAATTGGGGGAGAAACTCTGCCTCTGACCTTCCAAGACTCTGCTCACACTTGAAGTGTGACAGTCTGTTTTGAATCATCATTTCCCTTAACTGGTGCCCTCTGACCTGTGGAGAGTCAGTTAATTTGGAGATGATGTGCTGCTTTGTGAGGGCTTCTGTGGCAGACGCTTCTGAGGGAGGTCATGTCTCGGCACAGGAGGGAGGTGGCTGTGCCCAGCACGGGCCTTCAGTGACTGTGATCTAGGGAGCAATTGGATGCCTTTTTTCTGGGCCAGCTCTCCTGTTCCCCAGCCTTTCCTTTCTGCCCTTTGAGTTCACACTCCTCCTCTGTGTCTCTGTCTTGATTACCTGCTCGGTCTTAGTCCAATTGGCCATGAGCACAGCATGACCCCTGTGACGGAGACGCTGCTGTAGCCCAGGAGCAGCTGGGTGCTGCCAGGCCCAGATGTAAGGAGCCACAGAAGGCTCATGCCTATAATCTGAGCTGCTGAGGAGATGGAGGTTGGGAGGATTGTATTTTTATCACCCTACTTGGTGGTGATGCTTCGTCTGTGTGACCCACCTCAGCCCTCTGTAGAGTTTGCTTATGGCTTCTTTTCATTTTTATAGCTTCCACCTCCCTTCCGTGAGGGCTGAGTCTAGGAAGCCTGGCCTGTTAGGACATGGAACACCTGTCAGCTCCCACCTCCAGGCCCATGTCTGCCTCAGTTTCATTCAAGCCTGTATGTGTTTGTGGCTGACCACGATTCTGCCTGAGAGCTGTGATCACCCCACTGCTGGGTTACATCTCCTCCTGGGGTTGGCTGTCCTAGAAATGTTTTCTTCTCAGTTGTTGCATTTTAAGAAAGAAGGAGGAAAAAAGAAACCCCAACTCTTTCTAATAAAAGTGCAAATCTTTAAATATTTCTTTTCTTCTCTAAAACATTTACTGAGACTTTAATTTGTACCACTCTGTGGGGGGCTGGAAGTGTGAAAGGAGAGGAAGGAAGGTTTTTACATGCTGTGGAGCAGCTCAGTAAGTGTCCACTGAGACCCAGGTTTTGGTCCTGATTTCAACACAGACTCATGGCAAAGGAGGGAAGAAAGTCATTCAGACGGATGAGTGGCGGAGCAGCCCTGTGGAAGAGCGCCTGGAGTATGCACTGGTGAAGGTGGGTATGGGCACGCGCAGGGCGCAGGCTGCACAGAGGCTCTCCTGCCGTCTGGAGGGTTGGTGACAACAGCAGCCAGAGCAGGAGAGGCTCAGACCTCAGCCTCACCTGATTCTTGCCCCTCCCTGGTCCTGGTATCACCTGAGCCATGTCTAGAGGTGGGTAGGGTTGGGAGTTGGTGCCCAGAAATGTTAGCAAGCATCAGGCAGTGTACAGACAGCCCTGAACAGCCCATGTATGCTCAGTGCGGGCTGCAGAAATGGCCAATGGTCCGCACTGGCTCAGGTGGCAGTTTAGATTTTAGTCTCCTAGATTCAATTTCCCCATTTGTAAGTCTGGAGGATTCCAGAGTTCTTTCTGCTAACTCCTGGACCCTTTTTTTTTTTTTTTTTGCCAGTCCTGGGGCTTGAACTCAGGGCCTGGGCACTGAGCTTCTTTTGCTCAAGGCAAACACTCTACCGTTTGAGCCACAGTACCACTTCCGGCTTTTTCTGTGTGTGTTGTACTGAGGAATGGAACTCAGGGCTTCATGCATGCTAGCCAAGCATTTTACCACTAAATCACATGCCCAGCCCTCCTGGACCTTTTGAGATCTCATGATTTGCTTGATGGAGCTGGTCAGTCCCACACAGGGCTAGAGGGAGAAGGGCTGGTCACTGGAAGCCAGTGAGTCAGGGAGACGCTGTGGTTTTTGAACTTCGCTCACAGATCCCACCCATGGGTATGTGTTCTCTACCCAGTAGTGTTATCATGAGAAAACATACTGGATTTCATACGGGTGTTCATTTATTAACATGTGATCCGTTGCTGGGAGTCAGATCTTGGGTCAAGCACTTTGATCAGTGCTTACATCATACCAGCAAAGCTGGCTTAGCATTTCCATGTGTTATCTGATGCTCACGGTCAGTGGATTAGGCAGGTACGGTTTTGAATGTGAGGGAGGAAATGGAAGTCTAGTCAATCACCCAAATAAGCCGTAGTACCGAGGTTTCTACCTTTGGAATTCATCCTTTTAAGCATTGCTGTGATCCATTCTTGGTTGGCTGTTTGGATCTAAGCCAGTTTTCGATGTTTTTCCTCCTACGTTTTGTTTTTGCAGGGCATTGAAAAATACGTTATTGAGGATACCGAGGAGGCCAGACTAAGCCAAGACAAATATCCCCGACCTCTGAATATAATCGAAGGACCCCTGATGAATGGCATGAAAGTTGTTGGTGATCTTTTTGGAGCCGGAAAAATGTTTCTACCTCAGGTTGGGAGAAATTTGCTTGACTGAATCTTCTGTGTTTCTCTAGGAAGGAGTTTGCCTGTTGTTCCCAGGTTTCATTTTGGGCAAGAGCTCAGGGGAATTACATTACTTGTCCTCCCTTCTCCAAGGGTACTTAGGAGTCCTGTGTTGTGACGGGCTGTAGTGCCCTTAGCTTAGTCCCTCCACCGTCTCAAGTACAATCGGTGGGGCAGGAGGATAGGAGAGTAGTAGACAGTGAATTTGATCCATGGGCATCATATGCATGTATGCAAAGATCATACATACTGCCAAACTCCTCTGTACAGTTAATATACATTTAAAAATCATACTTTTTTCTGTACTGCTCAAAAGAATAAAATAAATAAAAGTCAGTGTAACTGTGAAGTTGATACAGAACTCAATTTGACAATCCAGAGTTCAGCTTTAAGGACAGACTTTAGAAAAGTATTGCTCTGGTAATAGTGGTTTGTCAGATGATATGTTTCAAGTGAGGTAGCACTCTTCATTTAAATTAGAGCACTTACTGGGCCCATCCGTTAGTCTTTGAGTCAAGCAAGAGCTTGGTTCAAGGGGTTTGGAGTGCTGGAGACTGAGATGCACAGCTTGGGCAAGGTGCAGGAGCATGGAACATGAAAGATGGGTGGAATTGAGAAACATGGCGAAGGGACTTGGAGCAGCACCAGCTCAGCAGGCAGATGACATGTTTGCATTCTGGTCTGGTATTCCTTCTGCTGTGTGGGTTCCCTAGCATCCCTGCTAGGAGCTCCAGCCCCTCCCTGCTCACTGTCAAAGCAATGCCCAAGGTCAGGGCGCGTATTCATTTCAGCTGCACTTTACATAGCGTTGTGCTATGGTTTGGTAATGAAGCCTCACTGCTGCTTTCACAGGTAATAAAGTCAGCTCGGGTGATGAAGAAGGCCGTTGGCCACCTTATCCCCTTCATGGAAAAAGAACGAGAAGAAAACAGAGCGCTCAATGGCACTGTGGAAGAAGAAGAGGCAAGTCATTCTGTTCAGGCCCATGGTCCTTGCAGGACCTGGCCCAGCAGATTCCTGGGGGGAAAGGTGGGGAGCGGCGGATCCCCAAGCCACCAAGCTGGGCTGTGTTCATTACTGAGGAGAGTGGAGCAGTGGCAGTGACCCAGCAGCTTACTCACTCACCTTGTGCCAGGCTGCAAATGCCCTGTTCTCTCTTCTGAGTGTGGCTTTAGGAAATTTGGTTGTAATTGTTCAAAGCCCATGCCCATGGGCCCAAACCAGTTCATTCCTTGATCAGTGGATCACTACTGTATGCCATCACTACTGTATGCCAAGTTCTGTGCCACACTCCTAGCTACCACTTTCATCCCTGCTTTAAGGATACTGCTGAGCATTTATTTTGGAATGTCTCCTCTGCCTTGCGGTGCCCTCTGCCCCGAGGCTTCGGGTTGCCTTCTGCTCTTACCATGGAGGATGAAAGATGTAACCTGCTTTCCTATGTGCACCAAGATGGCATGTGGCACAGGTGGAAGCAGTGTTCACAAAAACACCCTGTGCCTCGCTCACCTCTTCTTTTTTCCTTTCTGCCCATCAGGGGAGGGTCTATGCTGGCAGTGCGCAGAACAGCCACAATAGAGAAAGCAAACGGGAAGACGCTAGGCCCCCTCTGCAGGGACGTCCCAGAATCTGAGGAACCTCTGCAGCTAGCCACACCTCCTCCCTGTCTCCTCCTTTTTCTTAACTTTTATTTTTTTCCTCTGAGTTAGAGAGGGCCTTGTGCGGCCATGCCCCTAATCCTTTTCTGCTTTAGTCATTTTTCAGGTAGGGACTAATGCTACCTGGGACTGGCCTCACACTAAGATTGTCCTACCTATACTTTCTCATGGCTGGGATGATGGGCTGGCACCACTGTGCCTGGCACTCCTCGGTGCACTGTTAGCAGTAACATGGCTGGGCGGGGTTTTGGGTGAAGAAGCTATGGTCCTGATGGAAGCCCTTGCACTGCCCAGCAGGCCTCTTCCTTGCTCGAGCATGCGAGGCTGCACATGCACTGGCCTGGCTTGCATAGCCGGCCTGCCTGTGAGGAGGTCCTGTGTGCATTTATTCGTGTACTGTAACCTCTGCCTGGCTAATAGACCATCTTCCCTGACTGGTGCTTGCTTGCTTGTATTCCAGGACCCCTACCAAGGCACCATCGTGCTGGCCACTGTCAAGGGCGACGTCCATGACATTGGCAAGAACATTGTGGGCGTGGTCCTGGGCTGCAATAACTTCAGGTGCGTGCAGGGCTTGCTCTGGCCAGCTCCTCCTCCCCTTCCGTGAGCCCTGCCTCAACAGGGCAGGGCTTGGTTGGTTGGTTGGTGCTACAACTCAGGGCCATAGCTTTTTTGCTTATGGCCAGAGCTCTACCACTTAAGCCACTGTTCAGTTTCTAGCTTATTGGTAGTTAATTGGAGATAAGAGTCTCACAGACTTTCCTGTCTGGGGTGGTTTTGAACCTTTATTCTCAGACCTCAGCCTGCTGAATTGCTCAGATTACAGGTGTGAGCTATGGTGTCCAGCAGTGGGACAGTTCTTTACTGAGGTAGAAAGGAGGGCATGCAGGTGAGTATCAGGTGGCTTTTATTTTTACCCATTGTGTAGTTACACCACCTGCTGTGAATACAGCTTTTTAAACAAGTTAGTAACAATGTGTCTAGAAAAAGATATCTAGGAAGGTCAGGTGACAAGATGTGTTCTGGGAGTCTCTGTGGCTGGGGGTGTCCCCTTGCCTCTCAGTGAATGGTCATATTTTAGAGCAGAGATCTTAGGAAATTTGGTTAAATGAAGGTTATTTAACTGGGGCCTCTGCCACTAAGCCAGGCTTCCAGGCTTTTTTGTAGGGTTTTTTTTTGTGGGGGGGTCCGGTCGTGGGGCCTAAACTCTGGGCCTGGGCGCTGCGCTCTACCACTTGAGCCACAACGCCACTTCCAGCTTTTTTCTTTTTGCTTATGTGGTGCTGAGGAATGGAACCCAGGGCCTCAGGCATGCAAGGCAAGCACTCTATCACTGAGCCACCTTCCCAGCCCCATGCAGGGGTTATTTTTGAGGTAGGGTCTCTTCTTGCCTGGGCATGTGCTTGGACTGTTAGGCTTACTGTTGTAGCTGGGATGACAACCTCCAAGTAGCTGGGGATGGTTACTCTCTGAGTAGCTGGGATTACCGGCATGAGCCACCACCAGACAGGGACTTGCTATGTGGCTCAGGCTGGCTTGGAACTCAGTATGACTCCAAATTGGCCTCAGCCTCAAGATGCTTCCGCCTCTGCCTCCTCAGTATTGAGATCACAGTGGTGTGATGTCAAAACCAGTGATTTGCAGTTTCCCTACTAGAGGCACACAGAGCTGATTAAGAGGCTTTTCACTTGATACATTTTGAAGAGAAGCCTTTCAAGAATTTTTTAAAGGGGCTGGGAAGGTGGCTCAGTGGTAGAGCGCTTGCCTTGCATGCATGAGGCCCTGGGTTCCATTCCTCAGCACCACATAAGCAAAAAGAAAAAAAAAAAGCCGGAAGTGGCGTTGTGGGGAAAAAAAAGAATTTTTTAAAGTAGTATCTGCCATCAACTTTCATCACTCCTTAACCACAGTGGGAAACTGGCTGGAGCCCCAGGCTGGTCAAGCACTACCATCTAGAAGTAGGATGGGTAAATTGCAGGGGCAGCAATCAGGAGTTAAAGGTCCCAGAAAGGGAGAGAGATAGATGCACATTTTAATTTATTTTTTAAACGTGGAGATTACAGGTGTGTGCTACCATACCCTGTCAAATTTTCATTTTTTCCCCCTTTAGACTTGTGGCAGAATACAAGACTGTGTAAAAAGAGGGACCTAGAGATGTAGGGTAGATCTGAAAGTAAGAAAAGTAAATTAAGGGACTATGAAAGAAGGAGGCTATGCGGGAGAAGCAAGAGTGAGGTAAGGAGAGGTGGAGTCATGGCACAGGTGGTGGGGAGAGTGGTAGCTGGCACCATATCATGGGTAGATCTGCCCACGACCCCTAGCCAGGGCTTTCCAGCCAGTTTATGACTCTGGACCTCTTTGCTTCTGCCCAATTGCCCTTAGCATGGAGTGCCTTTACTCATCTGTTGGCATGGGTAGTGCCTGCCACAGTGTTCTCAGCTTGGGCTAAGCTCATCCCTAGGCTAAAATGCTACATTCTGTTCACTCATTCATCTGTGATACTCGTGTCATTCCTAGGACACTCTTTGTGGTTGCTGTTGTTTGTTTATGGCACTGGGATTTGAATTCAGGCCTCCCCACCTGAGCCACACCCCCAGTGTTTTTGCTTTGCTCTTGTCTACTGCCTGTCACAGTGCATAGAGGATGACACAGGTGAAAGATTCACTGTGGCTCACAGCCTCGGAAGCTTCAGTCCATGGCTGGTGCAGAAACCATTGAGTTGGGTGCAGGTTGAGCACATTTCAGTACAACTCTTGGGAAGAGGCTTGCACATGGCAAACGCCTAATAAATGGCCAGTGGTGATGGCCAGTGCTTAGTGAACATTCCAGTGAGTTCCAGGTGAAGTTAGAGCCGCGTTCAATGGCAGATTTTACCTTGTTCACATCAGCTTTGAATCTAATGGGCTCCGATTAATTTTCTCACATTTCTTTTCTGTGCCTCAGAGTTATTGATTTAGGCGTCATGACTCCCTGCGATAAGATCCTGAAAGCTGCCCTTGACCACAAAGCAGGTAAGCCATCCTTCAGCGTCCCCCAGTGTCCCCCTTGGTCTCCCTTGCACTTCCCTTGTGTCTGTTTGCACTAAATTCCAACCCATGGGCCACTCTTGCAGCCAGTTTTACTGGGCTTGGGAGAGGCGCATGAGTGGCTGTGTCGCTCTCCAGAGCTCTGGACATGGGACCAGGCTGGCTGTTTCTGGCAGATTCTTGTCCTGTGTGTGCCTGCTGGGTTTTCGTTCCATTGAACATTGCGATGTGGTCATGTCTGAGATATGAAATAGAGATGTCTTTGACTATACAGCTTGCTAACACCAGCAAATACGTTGTTGCAAGTTACAAATCTTGTTTGCTGCCCCCAACAAGAAAACTTTTAAATCTTTCAGTCAGAAAAGACGTCTTAGATCTAGAATTGGCCATTTATGCTAGGTCTTATGTTTTGCTTCATACTTTTCCTGTGACCCTCTTTCTCATTGTCCTTTTTTTCATTTCTTTTTGAAAATAATAACAGATATAATTGGCCTATCAGGGCTCATCACTCCTTCCTTGGATGAAATGATTTTTGTTGCCAAGGAAATGGAAAGATTAGCTATCAAGATTCCGCTGTTGATTGGAGGCGCCACCACTTCCAGGTGAGTCCTGCTTATGAACTTTGGGCAGTGTGCTTGTGTTTACAGATAGCATACAGGCCCCTCTGCTCTGGTTTTCTGCTTATGCTCAGCGTGTACTCATGAACGTGCTTGGCTTCACTTGGGCTAGAACATTTTGAAATGCACTATAGGAACACTGCTACTCTTTCCTTATTTTATTTTTTGATTCCCTCGAGTTAGTTATCTTTTTCCTAATCCTCACACCTTGAATTCAGTCCTGTGAATTATAATGAATTGTTACCTCGCTTGAAATCATACTGAGTGGAAATCTATGGTTTGAGGGCACACATACTTAAAAGTGCCCTGGTTCTCCTTGTGATGCCATCTGCGCTCACCAGGTTGGAAGTCAGGAAGTCAGGAAATCCCTTAGTTTTCAGGCAGGATATCTGGAGGTGTGTTCTCTTGCCTGGAGCTTGCTGTCTGAAGGAGAGGATGATAATTGAATGTGACCTGTGCTGTTTTCATACTAGAGGAAGCTTCTTCGGCATGCTTCCTCCTGTTCCCAGAGCCTTCTCCTGCAGTGCATGCCAGGCATCTGACAGGCCTTGGAGGCAGTGGAGCTGTCCTCTGCTCTAGCCCCAACCTGGCTCCCTGCAGCTGCTCCGCCTCTCAGTCGGGATGCTGTCTCGAAACAGCTGGCTCCTGCTAGGCTGGCTTTCTTACAGTAAGTCCAGTCCTGGCTGGCTGGAGGCTTTAGTCTTTTTTTTCAGTTACTTAGAAAACAGAATCAGATAAAGGTGGTTGATCCTGTTTCATTAGAGTTAAGTGTTTTAGGGCCACGCAGGAGAGGTCCTAACAAAAACACTCACATTATTGGCATTTGTAATACTTCCTGATTTTTTATTTTTTGTTGTTGTTGTTGGTTGTGGATCTCGAACTCATGGTCTGGGCACTGTCCCTGAGCTCTTTTGCTCAGGGCTCAGGCTCCACCACTTGAGCCACAGTGTCACTTCTGGTTTTCTTGTAGTTTATTGGAGATAAGGGTCTCATGGACTTTGCTGCCTGGGCTGGCTTTGAACTGCAATCCTCAGATCTTATCTTCCTGAGTAGCAAGGATTACAGCCACCAGTGACTGGCTCTGTTTACACTTTCATTGATTTGGTCATTAGAGATTGCTTGTTCTCCATGCAGACATTGTCAAGGTGGGCAGTAGGGATTTGCTGCTTGTTTGTTTTGTTTTGTGTTGAATTTCAGGTCTGGGATTCTTTACTGCAAGTATCAGGTGTGTTGATGCCCCCCACAATGCGGGAGCAGCAGCTGGGAATGTGTGCTGTGTCCCCGGCCCCCAGTTCATGTGGAGGAGGAAGCCCAGCAGACCTTGTGGGCAGCGGTGTGCACAACTGCCCAGAGCTCCTCCCTTCTTTGGGCCTCGGGTTGTGATGAGCTCACCCCTTGTGGGCCAAGAGCAGAGACAAGGTGTCCTCATCTGGGACGACCGATTCATGTCATTTCACCTTGTTGTCCCATGTTGGGATAGAAAAAGTCATTCTTGCTTCACAAGGGAAATTTGAAGTTTTCAATAAGTAAGAACATTGGAATCTTTGTCTGGAAAACTCTGTAGAAACACGATTGCTAATGGTTCTAACAAGAACTGTGTAGGAGCTGGTGGAGAAGCTCTTCCTCCTGCCTTTCTTTCCAGAACCCACACCGCAGTGAAAATAGCTCCACGGTACAGTGCGCCCGTGATCCACGTCCTGGATGCATCTAAGAGTGTGGTGGTGGTAAGTGTGGGCCTTCACTTCATCACCTTCCATTCCATTGTTCCAGATTGTTCTCACAGAACAAAGCATGCATTGAAAGGGAAGCTGTCACCAAAGATCCATTCTACTAAACAGAGAAATAGAGCAGCAGCCGTAGGGATTTTGGGTGCTGCTCCTGCTTCGACTCAGTAGAGGAAGCCTCACAAGCATGTCCTGTGCTTTCATAGATGCTTAAGGACTGGATAGCAGCTGGCAGGGGGGCGGGGGGAGGGGGGCTCACCCTTGACATGTTCCATCCAGACAGGGGTGTTTGCCCTTCCTGAGTGCAAGTGCACTTCCTTGGCCACTGCTGAGTTAAACAGTGCAGGGTTTCAGAAAGGACTCCTGTCCAGATGAAAGAATCCTTTTATCCTAACAGCCAGTTGACCCGGCCAGAAGACAGGAGACCAGCCAGCCTAGCAGATTCTGCTTGTTGTTAAGCATTTCTTCCTGCTCGTTGTTAAGCATTTCTTCCTGTTTTTCGCCCACAGTGAGGCTGATGTCCTCGCTTGTTAGCATTTCATTGTTTGCACTAAAAGCCTGGTGCCACAGCTGGGAGACAAGACTGTGTGGTCTCGTGGCTTCCATGTTCTCAGCTGTAGACTCTTGTCTATAAGGCTCAATTCATGTGTACTGCAGTGTAGTACAGGAAAAAGCCTGCAGCCCTTCCGCCCTTCACCCAACTCCTGCCTCTTACTGGAAAACCAGTGCAGCCCAACTTCCACATTTCCATGGGGAGGAAGTTGCGAGGGAGTCTGGTGATCTGAGACTCCAGTGACGCGGAGCAGGCTGAAATCGCACCTCACATGTGCAGATGAATGTGCATGGAATTTTCACAGTAGCCACTGTAATTGAAAATATGCAATGTAGGTTGATTTAGTTCTCAGAGTAACTTCAAGACATAGATGCTGTTGTCATTTTAGAAATAGGAAACAGGAAGGAAGAGGCTACCAGGGACATGTCCATCACTTAACAGACATGGTATTTGAATACAGGTGGCTTAACTCTGTGATGTATTATAAGCTTTTTTCTAGTAATATTTAACAATCAGTTATTTAAAAGAATAAAATTTGCCAGATGCTGGTGGCTCACCCCTGTAATTCTAACTACTTAGGAAGCTGAGATCTGAGGATTGTGATTCAAAACTATCCCATACAGACAAATCCTTGAAACTCTTGTGAATTAACCAGCAAAAAGCTGGAAGTGAAAGTGTGGCACAAGTTGTAAAGCACCAGCTGTGAGAGGGAAAAGCAGAGCAAGAGTATAGGCCCTGAGTTTAAGCCCCAATAAAGGGTAGAATTAAGTCAAGCTAGAATCATGTATGATTTGCCACACAGACTGATGTACACAGAAGCCACATGTCTGTGACTACATTTTATTTATTTTCTTATGGTGGGTCATGAACTTCAGCCTCACATTCTCACTTGACATTTGTATCAAGGCTGGGGCTCTACCACTTGGGCCGCCCCTGCACTTATGACTTAGTTTTAACATGGTATTTATATTGTATGCTTCTCAGGAGCTTGTCTCCTTGGTTGCGTGAGCAGAGGGCCTTGTTTTCAAGCTTGTTGCTGTGTCAGGTGACGTGGCTCTGAGCATCTCCATTGGATACAGTGCTGTTGGGTGTACTTAGTGTCGTAGGCAGCCGCCGGCCCTTCAGGCAGGGAGACTGGGCCCTGGGGTTCAAGTGTTCAGGACACGAACTCATTCGGGAGCTCAGGTAGCCCAGGCCTTGCTCAAAGCCAGGCAGTAGCCTGTCCAGCAGTAGCCTCCATGCTCTCTATGGTTTGGTACCCTGGGCAGGTAGCAGAAATGCCCCAGTTTTTGAAGTGGCTCAAATGCAGGTCAGATGACAAACCAGTTGGGTAATTGCTGGTGACACTTGGCTGGAGCCAGTGGTGTAATTCATTTTGGTTGGTTGTTGGCCTGCATCATTTGATCTAAGTGGAATGAATGGGGGAGGGGAGGCAAGGAGGGCTTACTCTAGCAATCTTCTATTGTATTAGAAAGATTCTAAAAAGACACAGCAAGTCAGCGTGGGGTCTGGGGACTCCCTGGCTTGCTTTTCTCCTGTAATAAAAGACAAGGCATACCAATATTTCTTCTAAATTACAAGAAGTTTTCAACTTATTTTTTTCCTCACTGTGCAGCTGTTGCCATGAAAAGCAAACTGAAATGAAGGAAAATAACAGGCATACTTTGGCCATGATAGCAGGAAACGTGGGATGGGCCTAATGCTTTGGTGGAAAGTTTGCACAGGTTCATCGTGGATTGCCCATGACAAAGCCCAGGCAGGAGCAGAGCAGGACAGGGCTCTGAGAACAGGAGGCTCCCTGGGACATGGAAGGTGCTAGCAAATTATAGAGCGATATTGTGGCTGCACCTTAGTAGCTGTGCAAGGGCATTGTGAATTCTCTGGCTGTTGGGGAAGTCCAGGTTTTTCCTCAGGGTGGTGATCAAGCAGACTGGGGGACTGGCCTCGTGTAAATGGGGGAGTGTGCGAGTGTGTCCTCATGTTCAGTGAGCTTGCTGGGTTCCCTCATGGGACACCGTAGAGGTGAGTTTAATGGAGAGTAGGGAATACTTCATTTGGGAGCCTATTTTTAGGCCTTTTCAGATTTGATTCCTTAATGGAGTGATTTTGTTTTATACTAGCTCATTGGTAATTGGCCTTAAGAGCAGAACTTTGGAATTGTGCATAGAATTACAAGCTGAGAGATATGTTAGAGATCATCCCATGTGACTTGCTATGGAATTTCCTGCCTTTTTGTGTCAGTCCTGCTGGAGGGGGTAGGGCCAGTGTAGTAGTTGTAGCCCATGGGATCATTAGCAGCCATTTCTTCTTTCTTCATAGCTTTTGCTTTGATGGTAGCTAGTTTTCTAAACCATGTCATTTAGCTCTTCCCAGTGTTAAAATTTAATGAGTAACGCCACATTTTCTTAAATTGTCAGTTTCCTTTCACATGGTAGTGAAAGCTCCCAGTTGACCGTGAGGATGGGTGTAGGTGGTGGAGACGCCTCTCTGTGCACACAGAGGCAGGCACCGCAGTGCCAGATGGGTCATGTGGTCCCAGCTCTCCAGGGCTTGTCCTGCAGCCTGGGCAGCAGACACATAAGCACACCGTGGTGCATGCAGTGGTGCAGAGATGGACAGGACATGGGGGAAGGGTTCCCCAGTCATCTCCATGTCAGGGATTTGCTGGATGGATTCATTAGAGCTCAGGGACATGGTATACTCATCATCAGCTTATTAGTGAACATACACAGCTTAAAATCAGCAAAGGTTGTGCATGCGTCGGCGGAGAGCCAGGCTCAGGTTCAAGTGTTCTCTGTGTAGACAAAAGGCTGTTTCTGATGTTGGATCAGTAAACAGGAGTGTGGTGGGCCAGGACGCTCTCCTCAGCCTTCTGGCTTGGGCTTTAAAAAAAACAGCAAAATGATCCTGGGCTTGAACTCTGGGCTTGAACTCTGCATGGGGTTTAACATCAAGCCCTGAGTATCTCTCCTTTGCTGACCCCCACAAGAGTTGTTGAAGTGAGAGCGAATGTGGGGGCAGGCTTCCTGAGGGAGGTGTCCCAAAGAGTCCTGTTACAGCCTAATTTTTTTGTGCCTGTTCTGGGTCTTGAACTCGGAGCCTAGGTACTGTTCCTGAGCTTTTGTGCTCAAGGCCAGCACTCTACCACTTACTTGAACTACATCTCCACTTCCGGCTTTTTGTGTGGTTAATTGGAGATAAGAATTTCACAAACTTTCCTTCCCTGGCTGGCTTTGAACCAGGATCCAAGATCCCAGGCTCCTGAGAAGTTAGTATTATAGGTATAAGCCACTGGTGCCTGGCTACAGCATTGATTTTTATCTTCTGCTCATGGTGATTGAACCTCATTTTGTTTCAGTGTTCTCAGCTGTTAGATGAAAACGTGAAGGACGAGTACTTTGAGGAAATCATGGAAGAATATGAAGATATTAGACAGGACCATTACGAATCTCTCAAAGTAAGTGCCAGAACCAAACTTGATTGTTTGGGACCTAAAGTGACCCATGTTTTGAGGTGCTCTTTTCAGAGAAAGCGTGTTTCCTGGATCAAATCATATGTACCTCTAGGTTCCAAATAATTTTTGGTTATATTAAAATGAATTTTAATACAGATATGGTTGCCTAGGCCTACAATCTCAGGATTTCAAAGACTGAGTCAGGAGGATGGTGAGTTTGAGGTCAGCCTAGGCTACATAGTGAAACCCTGTCTCAAAAAAAGAATATATTCACCTAGACACGCTGGGTTTCCAGCAGGTCTTAGGCACTATGTTAGACACCAGAGTTATGAGAATGAATAAAACAGGAACTGGGAACTAAATGATGTCCCACCGTGACATTCAGAGTCAAGACATTTAGTCTTGAGGGAATAATGGATGAAAGCTGAAGTGTGGGGCAGGATGGACCAGTGTGAGCCTTGATTCATAATGGCCTAACCCTGCTTGCTGTCCAAAAGAACCTTCCAGGCGTTCTTCAGTTAGCTTCAGGGACTCCATAATCGCCCTCTGGAAGTCACTGGGGTATTTCCTTCCAGTTATCTGCCTTGCGGGTTATTGTGGGATAATTTGAACATGAAGTGAGCATGAACAGCGTGAAGAGAAACTGGTCTTGTATGAGGTGCTTGTGAGCCCCAGGTGCTTTGCCCTTTCCTTAGGCTTGCCTGCTGTCGATCTTAGCTCTGCCCACTGGTGCTTGGGGAGGTGGGTGGTAGGCCAGTTAATGGGTGTATGTATTCTGCCCACTCTGTGAGGGCCACGCCCTAGGGCCAGTGCACACTTACCAGTTTTTACTGTCTCCTGGGTTGCTCCTAGTGTGAGGGCATGTTGAATGAAGAAGGATGGCTTTGTAGGATAAGGACTTTTATTTGAGAACATTGTAATCATTTTCAGAGTTCCCATAGCAGTTTTCTAGAGGTGGAAAAACTAAACGACTTTTCCCCTTTCAACAGGAGAGGAAATTCTTACCATTAAGTCAAGCCAGGAAAAATGGCTTCCACATTGATTGGCTGTCCGAACCTCACCCAGGTCTGTGGCTGTTGCTGGAGACAGGAACCAACTCTGTGCCAGGAGATGTTTGCAGTTACTTGGCTAAAATGAAAGTCTCTCTCAGTGTGTGTAATAGTGAGTCAGCCTGACAATTGCAAAGGAAGTAGATAGGTCCCTCCCTTTCTAGGAGGGCCTGTTGTGTGCTAGACCCTGCTGAGAGGGACGTACGGAGCCTGCCGAGCCCTCCTGATGGCTCTGCAAGGAACGAGGCCACCGTCGCCAGCTGAGTCGGGACGGGCATTAGGATTTCCCCTGGGAGTCATCCTCTCACCCTGGCGGCCCCCTGCCCTCCTAGTGCTCCCTCCTCACTGATGAGTCTCCGCAGATGCATAGTGCCTTTGCTCTGCACACCTGACATACCCACGTCAACTCTAGAGCCCATCTTTGTTCACACTCTGATTCTCTGTCTGGATGATGCCTTCTTTTCTTGAAATTCCTTGTATTTAGCTGCTACTGCTGCTTCTCCTCTTTCTCCTTCTTTCTCCTCCTCCTCTTGCTCCTCCTCCTCTGCCTCTGCCTCCTCTTCCTCCTCATCTTCTTTTTTTTTTTTAACTTTCCAGCTACCATTCTTACCTCAAATAGGTATTCCTGAGGGAATGAAATATGTACAAGCTGTTTTGACAGGCTCAGAGAGGCATGAGGTACAAATGGAAAACCGAGACAAGGTGAATAGGGCTTATATTAATTGAATCCATATTTCCAAGGTGATGTCGTAGATCAGCTCTCATTGCTCAGGATATCTATGTTCTAACTGATTGAGTTTGAAATGGAGGTGTGCTGGTCTTAATTTGGTTACTGTGAGTTCAGTGTGGGTGCATAGAAAGAATACAGATCGGGGCTGAGAAGCCTGGGTGTCTGACAGCATGGCTTCAGGCTGCGATGCACTGTGTGACCTTAGCTGTCTTCCTTCCACCTCTGAGAGCTGACAGGGTGAAGTAAGGTATTATATGCAAGTCTTTGAAGAACTCGAAGTCACTGTACAGCCAGGCTCTGATTTGCCCTTTACCTTGTACTGTGAAGTTAGGCATTAGGGAACATCTATTTGGCCCAAGCCAGACATCTGAAGTATGCTTTGCAGGAACGTTCTAGAAAGGCCTGGGCAATCCATGATGCCTGGCCAGTGGTGAGGACTCTGCGTGTCCTGCTAAGCTAGTGAGGCCTCTGCTGGGCTCTGTCCTGCCTGTGTGTGAGGCAAGGCAGGCGCAGCCTGGTGTGGGTGGCTAGGCAGCAAGCAGTGTTTTTCTCCTGCCTCCCGGCCAGGGGTCACCATCTCCAGGAGCCCATGTGTGTTTTCAGCGAGCATCCCACAGCGGCTGCTACCTTGTTACCAAGCAAACCCACATGGTCTGGGGCACGGAGTGGCAGGGAAGCCCCATGTGGGAAGCAGGCGTTGGAGGGGGCTCCTGCACCCCCGTCCTCTTACTTGCCTGACACTTGGGTGTTCCCTGGGTCTCTGGTTGTGGGACCTATGAGGGCTTTGGAGCCATAGCAGGATGGGTCCCTGGCTTGTGACCTATGCTGCTCTCTGGGCCCCAGAAAGCCCCACAGCTCCTCTGTCTCACCATTGTTTGTATGGCTATACACTGTAGACTCAGGAGGTGTAGAAAATGTGTATCGAGCATTCCTGTATCCCACTGGCTGATTGAGTAGCCACCCGACAGAACTGAGCGCATGTGCTTGCCTGTGGGCCCCAAGTCCCTGCCTGCAGAGATCACCCGAGCGAGCCTCACTGTGGCTTCACATCCAGCCGTGTCCCCTGCCCTGCCTGTGCACGTGCTTGTCCAGCCAGGGGCTGCATGGTTCTCGACTTCACGTGCAGGGCGGTCTCTGCAGTAGCCTTTTCTTCTCTCTCTCTCTCTCTCTCTCTCTCTCTTTATTTCATAGGTAATGAGTACATTGCTTTTTTGGACAGGGTCGCCCCCACCTACAGTGGTCTTTATTTAAATGTCTTCATTTGCAGGGGTGAGGTTGAGGCAGGCTGTTCTCTTCTGAAATAGGAGTGGGAATAGAGGCGAGGAGGCTGTTTCCAGGGAATCAGGCAGCTGCAAGGGAGAAATTTTGTTCCACATTAAGTGTGGAATTACTGCTTCTCACAGTAGAGTTCCGCTCCTTGTAAGACAGCTGTGCTGACAGGGGCGGGATGCTTGGGGCATTGGGGGGGGGGTGTCAGTGCTGACAGGAAGGAGGGACATGTGGGGTGTGGAGGGTGCCTCTTCCCCTGGCTGGGGCGGGGTTCATTGTGGCTCCAAGTCAGTGCTGACAGGGGGAGGGACGCCTCCTGGCACGCCCCCCCCCCGCCCACCGCTGGGATTCAGTGTGGCTCCAAGTCAGTGCTGACAGGGGGAGGGACACCTCTTCCCCCCACCCCCCGCCCACCGCTGGGCTGGGGCTCAGTGGGTCTCCAGCTCCGGGCTGAGAACTGCTATGCTCTTCCCCCCAGTGAAGCCCACCTTCCTTGGCACCCGGGTTTTCGCGGACTATGACCTGCAGAAGCTGGTGGACTACATTGACTGGAAGCCTTTCTTTGACGTATGGCAGCTCCGGGGCAAGTACCCCAACCGAGGCTTCCCCAAGATATTTCATGACAAGACCGTGGGTGAGTCCGTGGGCCTGCTGGGATGACGGAAAGCCGCATTTGGGTGTACCGGGTGTTCAGGTCATGTGGACATGGCTGGCTCTCCTGGTCACTGCCCAACTGCCAGATGGCTTTACATGGCTTCGTCAGTCCTCACCATACTGACTCACTGTGCTGTTTTGTTCATTGGTTCTTTGAATGTGTGTCTATTGGTGTTGGTTACATGCTGGGCTCTGAGGTGGACACTGGGGACAAACAGGAGACAGTGGCATTCTTGCTATCGTGGGTGTGCCCAGCAGCCCTGGGCACTTCGCTGATGATGGCTGCAGGCTTAGCTGGGAGCAGAGCGGGCTTCCTGGAGGAAGGTGGTGTTGAGCTGCCTTGTGGAGACAGTGTGAGTTACTGAGGCTGGGCCTGGGGACGAGAAGCGGTGCTGAAGAAAAGGGCTATCTGTTATACTCAGAGCATTCACGTTTTGGGGTGATAGAAACATGAGCGAGCCAGCTCTCACCTCCCGTCCTCACATCCAGCTCATCCCTGACCCCATCCCAGAGACGGGATCACAGTGAAGCCATTCAGACGGTCAGAATGTGACTGGAATACCACAGGGTGGCGGGTGGACCCCTAGAAGTCTGGGGGTGAGCTGGGAAGAGCCAGGCCTGAGTGTTAGCAGCTCCCAGGTGGCCAGGGGAGGGACAGGGATGTCTCCACCCGTGAGCAGTCAGGCTCCCAGTGGGTCAGATGAGGAAACCAAGGAGGCGACCAGAGCCTGGAGCACATGGGCAGCTGCAGAGCTGAAGCTCCATAGGACAGCGAGGGTCTGCCCTTCCCCACCCACCGTGGGCCATCCCACAGGCCGCTGTGCTCCGGTGCTGCATGGGGATATGTGGGTGTGTGGGTGTGCGGGACTGCTGGTGGCTGGGAGCTCTCTGCTCTTCTCTGGCCTCTGATTGCTTTGACTTGAACTGCAAAGCTGGCTGTTGGGGTTCGCAGAAGCTGGTAGCCCCTGGCCCTTCTCCCTGACGCTGTACCTGGGACAAAGCCTGAGACAAAGGCTGCAGAGAGGCAGGCGTTTTATAAAGCAGCTTTCTTTGCACTCTTCTCCTCGTCTTTAAGAGATTTCATTTTCCCAACAGGTGAAGAGGCCAGAAAGGTGTACGATGATGCCCAGGCCATGTTGGACGTCTTGATTAGTGAGAGGAAACTCCAGGCCAGGGGTGTGGTTGGCTTCTGGCCAGCGCAGAGTGTCCAGGACGACATCCACCTGTATGCAGCAGGGGCAGAGCCCAGAGCCTCAGAGCCCATAGCCACTTTCTACGGGCTGAGGCAGCAGGTGCGCACATGGGCACAGAACACTGCTTCGGCCTTAGGTTGCCAGCACGGAGCTTAACAAAATGTCAGTGAGAATTAAAGAAATAGTGGAGTCTCTTCAACCTCATCCCGGCTGGCCAGCCACAGGCCCAGGCCCTGCGCATTGGGGAGGACGATGGAGAGGGTGCTGGCCTCTGGGTGCCAGCAGGAGGGAGAGGTTCGTGGGGAGGGCCTGCTGCTGCCCCAGGTGTCCTCCAAGTGTCCCTCTGTCCTCCAGCGTCACCTGAGGGCACGGGCTGGCCCGTGTGGATGTGGCCTCCATTTGTCACGGGGAAGTCAGGCAAGCATTCATGCAGTGTCCTCAGGGTGCCGGCTGCAGAGGGTGCTTGTTTCCGGTTGAGCAGAAAACAGGTTGCTGGCGGGTGCTGAGCCCCAGGTGTGTACCCCCTGTCTGTTCTTTTACCCACTGTGGTGTGGCTCCCCAGCACAGCTCTCCCACTCCAGACCCTGTTTGGAAGCATACACACAGACATCTTAGGCAGGTTTTTTAGCTGCTGTAAACAGTAGCTGTCCTGGTTAATTTGTAGTAAATTACTCTTCAGTTTTACCACCATTTTTAGTCATTGGAAAGTGATAGTGTTGACTTTGATCACAACTGTGACATAATTCACGATGAATTTGGTGTTTTGACTATAACATCCTACTGGTATTTATTTAGTCAGTCAGTCATGAGGCTGGAAGTCGACCTGGATACTGTCTCTGAGTTGTTTTGCTGAAGGTAAGTGCTGTACTACTTTGAGCCACAATTCCACTTTTCACAGACTTTGCTTCCTGGGCCGGCTTTGAACCATGATCCACAGATCTCAGCCTCCCAAGTAGCTAGGATTACAGGCATGAGCCACTCACTAGCACTTGGCTCTGACTGGTTATTTAAATTGGGGCTTTGAGCTGTGCTTTAAAGAATTCAGTAAGGATTGCTGTGTTTCATACTGTATACAGTGAGGCTCAGGCTGGGAAAGCACAGCACACAGAGCAGGGTTTTTAAGCTCATCTCCGGCCCCTCCTCACTAGGAAAATCAGAGACTTTGCTTTTACAGGCCTGGCTAAGGTCAGGACACCTCTGCTGCCCGGGCCTGGACTTTTATCCTCTGAGTCGTCCTGTGTCTGCTGCTCTCTCTTCATGAGGAGAATGAAGCTGCTCCCGCCCCGGCCTCTGTGGCGGCCACTCTGCATTAGGGTGTCTACTGCAGCACGTTTCCAGCATCCATCCTCGCATAGCGCCTGGAAGGGGGACTGAGCTCACACAGGCTGTCTGTCTAATGAGGTGTTCTCTGCAGTGTGCTGACAGTTACGGGTGCAGGGCCTTCTGTTGTGCTTGCCATCCCTTCTGAAGCCCTGTGGGGCCGTGAACCACTTGGCCTGTGCCGCAAGGGACCGGGCACCATTGAGTTCTCTGGCATGTCTGTGTGCCTTCATCAAACAGTACACCTGCAGCAGCTCAGCGTTCCTCTGCCCAGGGTCAGGCTGTCTGCTTTCATGGCAAATGGCTGGCCACTCCTTGATGGACTGAGAAGTCCAGAGCGGCGCTGTACACACAAGTGCCTGCTCTTGGGACGGAGGGTGTTCTGCCTTCAGTCCTCAGTCCTGCTGCTCTCAGAACCTGAGGTCTGTCTTTCAGCTCTCAGATTTCCTGCCTGAAAATGGAGCTGATGGGGTCATTTACATCACTGAGCTGTTGAGAATTACATCAGGGACACGTGCTATAGTGGCTCACGCCTACAATCCTAGCTGTGCAGGAGGCTGAGATCTGAGGATTGTGGTTTGCAGCCAGCTTGGGCAAGAAAGTCCATGAGATTTTTATCTACAGTTAACCCCTAGAAAACTGAAAAGTGGCACTGTGGCTCAAAGTGGTAGAGCGCTGGCCTTGAACCAAAGAGCCCAGGCCTTGGGTTCAAGCCCCATGACCAACAAATTACAGTTTCATTCCATCTCTGTCCATCTTCTGTTGTTACAATAATATTGGAGGCTGAGTAATTTAGAAGGATATTTTGGAGGTTGGGAAGGCCAAAATCCCGAGGGCTAGATGCTTCCAATGTGGCATAAGTCAGAAAGAGGGAGAGCATGTGCAGAGAGAGAGAAGGGCTGGACTTTGACCAGAGCCAGCCTGTTCCCATGGAGGGAGCTCCACACCCCAGTACCCACCAACACCACCACATCAAGGGCTCAGGTGCACACACACACTTCTGGGGGACACTCAAACTGTCGGGGTCCGTTTGTCAGCGAGTGTTAAGTGTCAGGCACGTAGCTGAGGCGATGGCTGTGGACAGCGGGCAGAGCCCCCCCATGCTGTGGCTTCCCACTGTGGGCTCTGCGTCCTGCTCACAGCTCTTCTGCCTGCTGTTTGCGTTTCCAGGCCGAGAAGGACTCTGCCAGCTCGGACCCATACCTCTGCCTCTCCGACTTTGTTGCGCCCCTGGACTCCGGCGTCACAGACTACCTGGGGCTGTTCGCCGTTGCCTGCTTCGGGGTGGAGGAGCTGAGCAAGGCCTATGAGGACCAGGGTGACGACTACTGCAGCATCATGGTCAAGGCGCTGGGGGACCGGCTGGCTGAGGTGGGCCACTGGCAAGCACGGTGTCTCGGGTAGGGGGTGGACGGGGGACCCTGGCCTGAGCCTGCTCTGCTTGGGGTTTGCAGGCCTTCGCCGAGGAGCTGCACGAGCGGGTGCGCCGCGAGCTGTGGGCCTACTGCAGCAGCGAGCAGCTGGGCACCACGGACCTGCGCAGGCTCCGGTACCAGGGCATCCGGCCGGCGCCTGGCTACCCTAGCCAGCCTGACCACACGGAGAAGCTCACCATGTGGAACCTCGCAGGGATCGAGCAGGCCACAGGTGCGCACGAGATGAGGCTCCTGTCTCCATGCAGCTTGAGTGTGGAAGGCCTCTCGCTTTAAACAGAAGAGCTTAGGACACAGTCACTTCTTATCCTTTCTCACTTTCTGGCATTTTCCCCTCATATTACTGTCTTGTATTTTTACATCATCATTATAGTCTTTTTTGTTGTTGTTGTTGTGGGGCTTGAACCCTGGCCTGGGCGCTGTCCCTGAGCTCTTGAGCTCAAGGCGAGCACTCTACCACTTGAGCCACAGCACCACTTCCAATTTTTTGGTGGTTTATTAGAGACAAGTCATACAGACTACTTTCCTGCCCGGGCTGGCTTTGAACCACAATCCTCAGATCTCAGCCTCCTGAGTAGCTAGGATTACAGGCATGAGCCACTGGTCCCCTGGCTCATCATTAGTCTTACAGTTGAAACCATTTTCTGGTTTCGTCTTGAATGGGAACTGGGCTTGTTCATACATGCAGTGAGCGTCTGTTGTAACACAGTAGTGTCGTGCACCCCTCCCTTAGTGCCCGACCTCCGTCTGTGAGGACGACTGTCTGTCTGGGCCCACACCGATGCTGATGATGTCTCTGGGCACAAAGTTGGCAGAGCTCCCAGTCTCCCTTCAGCTCGCTTTGTGTCCTCTGCTCTGTTGTTCATGCTCGTGCTTCTCTGAAATCTTAATTCCCCTCACGTCTCACGTGATCCACAGTTGACTCACAGAAAGACATGGAAGGCTGGCATGTGTCTTTTCCAAATGAAGACCTAGTCACCAGCCTCCCTGGTGAGGCAGTGTGAATCAGGGTTCTAGACCAGCGTTCTAGGCATAGTGCATGTTGTGCAGACGACTGAAGCTAAGTTTACATTTTCAGTGCAATGAGCTGCCAGCGGGTGGGTTGAAGGATCCTCGCTGAGGGGGGAGCGGGAGTGGTGTTGAGTCTGGGTCAGCTGAGATGGTAGCCCAGTCTGGGAGTCTGGGGCCCCACATCCCATAAGTCTCCCTTGGTGGAGTTTGCTTGTGCAGAAAGCAAGTGGTGTGCAGTGGTGTTGAGGGCCCAGGAGAAAGCCTGTGTCCTCAGCGTGCTATGGGCAGCAGCTGGCTGTCTGCTCTCATTCCTGGCCGTGGCTCTTCTCTTCTGGCCTCAGGGGCACCGAGGGGCCTCTGAGTTGGCCACATAGGGAAGGAGAGGATAGATGGGGTCTTTCCCAGACCTGTCTCTACTGGGTAAAATCCCGTGTCCCCCCCCCCAGCACTTGTCCAGCCGGCCTGCTGTCAGTCTCACTGAAGGCAGGATCACCCCCACTCGTTCCACCAGGCACCGACGGGGTGAGTGCTCTCCTGTGCTCTCTCTAGGCATTAAGTTGACGGAGTCCTTGGCGATGGCCCCTGCCTCGGCAGTGTCTGGCCTCTACTTCTCCAACCTGAAGTCCAAATACTTTGCCGTGGGGAAAATTTCCAAGGATCAGGTAAGTCTGTGGCTTCCCGGCTGCCTGTCTTGTTTTAAATGGGGCCCAGAGCCAATTTGATTTGGAGTGGACATCAAGTGAAGGGGAGTGTGAGGAAATGCTATCCAGGTACCATCCTCATACTGTTTCACCCCTGCCCTCCGTGCTCATGTGCACACACAGCACACGGCTGCTGCATGCTGTCTCCAGCCCAGAGATAAGACCGTGGGGCAGGGAGAACACACTTCCCTCCACTGAATGCAGTGGATGGTCATTAAGACAAGAAACATGAGGTACTTGATGTTCCTCCACAGCTGTGGCAGCTTTGGTGGAGAAGGACTTGACGCTTGGCGAATACGACGTTTCTATCTCTTGCAGATCGCAGATTATGCTTCGAGGAAGAACATGCCTGTGGCAGAGGTGGAGAAATGGCTTGGCCCCATTTTGGGATATGACACAGACTAAGTTTTTTTCACCTTTTTTACGCTTGCCGACCTCAAGGAGGTCGGATCCACAGTGCCTTAGAAAGAACAGCAGATCCTGCCTGGCCTCTCCTGGCCTCACCCTGCCTGTGCTCCTAGAGGGCCTGTGCTGCTAGAGGCTGCAGGGCTGGTGGGGCGGGCCTCCGGCGTCCAGTGCCCCAGATGAGTGTGGGGCTCCCTGGAGACAGTATGCGTTTCCAAGCAGGTCCACTAGCTTTGTTCCATCTTAGCCTTGGACCTAGATGGGCACTCTCCCCCTTCTCCCCCCCCCCACAAAAAAAACTGAAACTTGGTTGAACAGAGAAAGGTGTAGAAAAATGTTGCAAGGCACCACTATGAGAAATGGGGTGTGCTAATCTGAATGGTTCCAGTACCCTCTGACAGGGCAAAAGTATTTCTCTACCCTTTCTACCCTTTCTCTCCCTCCCTCTCTCCCTCTCTCACTCATCCTCTCCCTCTCCCTCTCTCTCCCTTCCTCCACCCCTCCCCACCTGTTTCTAGAGGCCCAATTATAAATGGTGGAAAAAATCCTCTTGGCAAAAATCATGATCTTACCACTTGCCTGTTAGAAATCCCTCGCTTTGTTGCCTGGTGTGGCAAACCAAGTACAGTCATGTTCTCTTAAGTTCTGTGTGTGTGTGCACACACATGCACGCACTTGGGTTTGTGTTCATGTCCGTGCACACATGCAAGTGTGTCTCTCTATAAATTCATACCCCCTTGCCTTGAGGGGTAGGTAGGCAGGGAGGCAGGGCGAGTGGTGTAAGGGTAGAGAGCATCTTTGAGCTGTTTTCTGAGCTGAGTGGATTTGGGGACAGAGGGGCGGTCTGTGCTGAGTCTCTGGGGGTGCTTAGGCATGTGGGCGTTGAAGTGGGCGCAGGTTCGGTTTGGTCACTTGCCTGCCTTGGGGCATAAGCTAAGAACTTCGTCTTCCATCATTGCTTGCTTTCTGTGTGTTGGTCCTCGGGCTTGAACTCAGGACCTGGACACTATCCCAGAGGGTTGTTTTGCTCAAGACTAGCACTCTACCCCTGAGCCACAGCTCTACATCTGGCTTTTTAGAAGTTTATGGGAGATGAGTCTCATGGACTCTCTTGCTTGGGTCTGGCTTCAAACTACAATCCTTAGTTCTTGGCCTCGTGTAGCTGGGATTACAAGAGTGAGTCACCAGCTCCCACCCCATCCCTGCATTCTCATCTGTAAACTGAGGACAGTGATAACTAATTTTTTCTTCATTGACCTGAGTTGCTGATGATGGTAGATGAGTATTAAGCACACAGTAGGGGTTTAACAGGATTTTTTGGTAGAATTTTAGAACTCTCTACCCTCAGGCTATGCTCACCCAAAGAGTAGAGCATCGGTGGTAGGGAAGTACCCAGTGGAGGAGTGACTGATGGACTCGGCTGGTCCCTGCTGGGATTGGAACCTGTGGGCACCGCGGGGCAGGAGAAGCCACTCTGGTGTTTGTGCACACTATTGGGATGTGTTTCTCTGTGAGATGAAGCCCTCCCTTACCAAGCATGCATTGAGATACGTGGGGTAGAAGGCAGTGTAGACCTGCAGATGGGCATTTTACCCATGTGAACTTGCAGCACAGCACGCGGGCAGCGTGGCTTACCATGAACGCGTTGAGAATCAGTGCTTCTCTTCTGTGCGTGTAAGTCATGCTGCATGGAGCCTGGGGCTTGGTGTCCCGAGCCACTTAACTTGGACCTGGTTTTCGTTTCATAGCATGCATGTTATTCAGGCTTGGTGACCTTCTGTGAGAAAGAATCCAACATTTTAGTGTATCTTCTCCGAGCTGTCACCGAGCCTCCTGGCTCCACTTACTTGCAGCTCCACTTACTTGCTGCATCTTGTGAGCCAGTGTGGGCAGCGTGGCCTCCTGGGGTCGCCGTTGGTCTAACATGGTAGATGCTTGCTTTTTCCGAAATGTCCATTAAATAGGAACTAGAACTTGCAGGGAAGCAGGGCTCCAGGGGTCCCTGGGAAGCGCTCTTACCCATGGGCTGGACTGGGCCTCGCATACTCATGCACACTTGGCCCTTCCACATTCATTAGGACTCACATTTAGTGTTCCCTCTAAAGAATTGCCCACATTGTATTGCCTGCCCTGTGTGTGCTGTGGAGGCTGGCTTGCGGGGGTGGGGGGCGGTGGGCGGGGGCAGTGGGGAAGAGGTGAGGTTTATAATGCTCCGCCTCCATGCTGGACTCACAGAGCACAATCTGCCTTCTCCCCGTTCTCATGCATGCGCTCAGCAAATACTGACTGCCACCTGCCACGTGCCTGCTACTCTCTCACTGTATTTCAGTGGAGATAGGTGTGTGTGAGAGAGAGAGAGAGGGAGGGAGGGAGAGGGAGAGGGAAAAGGAGGGAGAGAGACTTAGAGTCTTGCCACCAATGACCCCTTAATTAGACTCTGGTCCTTCCAGTGTGTTTTCATCTTCTTGTCGACCTCTTTAAAACTCTTCTTTCTCTCCTCTGTTTCCTTATCCTCCCCTACCCTTGACATCACTCTTCTGCCTAATTTTCTACATTTTTGATCATTTCTTGGCCATTCTCTGAACTTTCTATCTCTGCCCTCTTAAACGCTTGTGCCCTCAGCATCTGTCATGAGCTCCCTTGTAGCCTGTGGTTCCAGTGGTGATGCCATCCTGTCAGTGCCCGCCTGCTCCTTCCTCCCGGATCCTCACAGATAGCTCTCCCAGCCCATGAAGGGCATGTAAGCACCACACACCAGGGTGTCTCCAGACTCGCCCTCCGCTGCTCTTCTTGTCCTCAGTGTATTCAGTAATGAAGATGTTGCTTCTGCCCAGGCATCTGTGACAGTTGCCTCAAATTCGCACATGGAAGTTGCACTTTCCTGAGTTGAGATAGTAGAAGGAATATTCAGGAACGAGTGACTGTGTTGCAAATAGGAATATAATAAGTCATACAGATACCCGATCTCCCCAAATTGATGCCCTGTCCCTCAGAAAGTGCTGACCTTACACTATGTCAGGCTTTGTTGCAGAGATAGTGAGACCTGTGGGGCAGCTTTCTGATCGATGGAACAGAACAGCCTAGGAACTAGTTGATGCCCATGTTGACTTTTGAGGTCGATTGGGGCGGGGGGCGGGGGGGGCGGCGAGAACAGAAAGGCTAACCCCATGAATAGTGCTATCACAATGCTTATCTATTGGGGAAACAAAGTCTACTTTATACCCACACTTTACTCAACTGTCAATCCTGATGCAGAAAGCAATAATTGAAAATGTTTTCATGGAAAAACGATAGGGCAGGAGTGAGTGTTTTGAGACACACACACACTAATCATGAAGGATGATTAAATCAACTCTACCAAAATGAAAAGACATATGCTAAGCAAATGAACAATTCAAATGAAAAGATGAGAAGACATTTTCAATATAACTGTCAAGGTTTGTAGTCAGAATGCATGGAAAATGTCTACTTTTTAAAGAGAAGTGAGAAGACATTTCACCCATGGCTGGTAAACAGATGTTGCACTGCACTGATTGCAGCACGGTAGAGTTCTGCGTTAGGCCCGTTAGATTGCGCCCCATAGACGGGAGTCAGCTGCCCCTGCTTTAGGACGGCCACATCTCCCAGGCGTGCTCCCAATGTGTGTTCAGCCAAACCTTATGCTTTGGGGATGTGCAAGAATGTTCATGGTAATGTAACTCGTGATAGTGAACCACCGGAAAAAGTGAAATGTCTCTCCCCAGGGGAGGGCTTAATTATTAGATATGTTCACTCTAAAGTATGTTCTGTGTGAGTGAGCGACGGCTGTGCCTTGTAATGAGTTGAATATCACAGTCAGGCGTGGCAGTTCACTTCTATAATCCCAGAAGGACTGTTTGCAGCCAGCCAAGAGCAGTCAGCCAGATCCTAGCTCAAAAACTGGAAGTCTGGCTCAAGTGGTAGAGCATCTGCCTAGGGCATGGGAGATTCTGGGTTCCATCCTAGAAGAGGGGAAGGGAAGAGGAGGGGGAGAATTTAGAAAATACAAGTTCCATGAGACTACGCGTGCTATTCTATTTATATTGAGCATAAAAGCAAGGAAAACCAAAGACTCTTTGATTTCAAACAGTTGAGAGAAAAAAGGTTGAATGACAAACCAAATTTACCTTGGTGATTGCCCATGGAAAGAAGAAAAGGGGATAGAGACGGGTGGGGGTGGTGAAGATCAGGGGGACGTTCTAGTCCTTGGGTGGAGGGTTATGGTGTTTTCTGTATACTGTATTTTGCTTTATAATAGTTTTATATGCTGTATTTAATGTATCTTAAGTATATTGCAAAAAATAAAAGCAAAGTTAAATAACCCCAAATCTTGTGATGATCTGGTATATGATGGTTGTATACATTAAATACATTTTTGGAATAAAGGGAAATTTTAGGTAAACAGGTGTGATACATACACATGAATATATGTAAATACATATATACACAAGTATATATATGAGTATGTATATGTGTGTGTGTGTGTGTGTACACTAGTATGCCCAAGGCTCTCAATTCAGTCCCAAGCACTACTAAAAATAAAAATAAGCACTTGGCATGATATATTGTTGGTTAAAAAAAAAATCTGTAGAGATGAGCAAACACATGAAGGCAGCAAAGGGAACATCATTGTGTCAAAATGCTTATTTTTAATTAACGCTGCTTTTCAGAAAAGGGAGCAGTTAGCTCCAAGACATCTCAATGGCTTGTCTCACAGGAAAGTTTTTTCCTAGCCATCGGATTTCTCCTTCCATGGCAATGGAAGCCCTCCCCCAAAGAAGGACCTTATGAGACTTCTACAGACAAGAGCCTTCACTCAGACCTTAGAGCCAGAGAAGCCTGAGGCTTACTGTGTGTGATACGGCACTCAAATAAGGACATCGTGGTGCATGATAGGACCCTCCATCATTGCTGAATGGGTGAGATCATAGAGGACCCAATGCCAGGAAGCCAGAGAAGTCTGGGGCTTTGCTAGTCATGCCAGAGGTTTGCTGCACCTACCCTGCACAAGAAGAAAACAAACTCGGCCATCGATCAGGGACCTTTCTAAAACCTACAATTCAGTAATTGTGGCCATGCATTAATGTGACTCATAAGTATTGCACTATTCTTAACAGTACCTTCTGAGTCATC